TGTTATAATAATATACATTTTTCACAATATTTAAATTTTCTGAAAAATAAATAAAGTTAAAAAATGTTAGGAAAATATATTTGCTTGTTAACATATGCAGATTTTGAATTGCAGAGATTTTTCATTGTTGTTTCTAAATATATTAAGAAATATATAAAAATATATAAAATATTCTATTAAATACTTGTTTTTTCTTCTATAGAAAATACCGTTGTTATATAATTATACAATACTTAATAAAACACAAATGATAATCAAAACAATAAACCGTGGAAAAAAATTTATTCATGTTGCACATAACGAACATGTTTTTATAAAAAATATATATATTAGGATAATTACTACTTATTAAAGTTAATTACAAAGATTAGTAAAGAGATATTAAAATAGTGATTCACATATACACATATTTTACATTATGATATTAATCTATTTTATTTACTATTTTATTTACGCGATGTCAATATTATAAAACGCATTTAACATATTTCAAAGAGCTTTTCGATCAGGTCTTCCCTCCACCGCCCTGGGATGCATTTCGCTGATGCACCGCAAATTATCCTGTAAAATGTAAAAAGCATCGTATGCTAATTCGCCATCGTCACATCATCGGGAATGAAACCATTACATATCTATGTTAAAGGATAGGTGGAATACTAGATCTCGTAATTATAACATTTTCCAAATAAATAAATTAATCTAGAAACACATGAGTGGCATTATAAAACTTCTATTAATAAAATAATTAATGGAATAATAAATGAATGCATACACAATAGCACGTGATGCTTATAATAACGTAAGTAAGTAAATGGATGTTTTTTCATTTAAAATGCTCTTCAACAGTTTTATTCAATATTACTATTTTGAGAAAATGTAAAGAAAATATCATACAATTTTGTATTAATTAGATTCATTGGATTTATTTCATTAATTTATTTTATTAATAAGTATTTTATTAATAAGTATGTATTTTACGAGTGAGTGACACGAATATTCTTATCGAATAAAAATATAATCGAATTAAATTTTAATGATAAAACGGAATAATAATATAAAATTTATTTTTCCAATAAATAAATTAATCTAGATAAATAAAATAATCTAGATAAATAAATAAATTAATCTAGATAAATTTTTCAAATAAATAAATTAATCTAGAAACACATAAGTGGCATCATAAAACTATTAATAAAATAATTAATGGAATAATAAATGAATGCATACACAATAGCTCATGATGCTTATTATAACGTAAAAGTAAGTAAATGGATGTTTTTTCATTTAAAATGCTCTTCAACAGTTTTATTCAATATTACTATTTTGAGAAATTCTAAAGAAAAGATCATACAATTTTGTATTAATTGGATTCATTGGATTTATTCCATTAATTTATTTTATTAATAAGTATTTTACGAGTGAGTTACACGAATATTCTTATCGAATAAAAATATAATTGAATTAAATTTCAATGATAAAACGGAATAATAATATCAAATTTATTTTTTGTTGAGATATATTTCATAAAAAGCTGACAGCTATTTTAAACTCTATTGAAGAATAACATTTATATTTTTGTCAAATGTGTTTTTAAATGGTTTGGCTTATTCATGTATAGCCAATATACAGAATATTCAATTTAATCGCTTGGAAAATGAAAACTACCTCGAAACGGTTAAATAAGCAATATTTCTGCCTGACTGAAAGTAATGTTCGATTTTCAGTTCTATACAATTTAAACGCTTTATCATCGATACATCGTTATATTAACAATCTGTCGGATAAAAGACATTGAAACGAAGCAAGTGATTATGTGTCGATATTTGTGCTTTATAGTCCATTGAGTATATGAGTAATTTGGCGCTAATGTTAATATAATGATAGACGGATACGTTAATAGCGTAAGAACAGTAATATAATTAGATATAGTTGCTGCTCATTGACGAAATTAGCTTGAGATATCTATAACTTGTACCATTACGCTTGGAAACGTTTTCAGGAGTTAGGAGAAAGTTTAAAGGGAAATGGACCCTGCGTGCAAACACGGAGAAATTCTCGAGTATCTGGAAAGTACTTACCGCACCTTATGTAGGAAAAGGATGCTGCACAAAGATGCAATTAGCTGTAATCGACTCTAACACGCCATTAAAATTATTTAGTAAAATAGAATGTAACAGTAGTTTGAAACAATACGTGTATATTTTCTTATGGAACATGATTTTATTATAGATAAAATTTATTATAGATTTTAAACATTATTATAGATTTTTTCATAGAGTTTAAAGAATGTTTCTACATTAATCCTGATATAATTTTCAGAAATAAAATAGATAGTAGTGTCTACATCTTGCTTTAATCAATATTTTAGATTTTTGTTTTAAATATACTGCCTTTTAGATCTCAAATTATTGCTTATCATTTCTAAATAATGTTTATCAAATATCGAATTATTAGCGTTAAAAATATAATAAAATATTTAACGTTTTCTTTTTCAAGAACAAAATATCATATTAATATATATCACTTTTTATTAAAATATTGATGTTTCGAAAAAAAGGTGTGTATATATATATATATATATATGTATATGTGTACATATATATATATATATATATATATATATATATATATATAATCCGCAAACAAAAGTCTGCTACGCTTATCGTTTGCGTTAAAAAAACTGCCAAATTGCCCTGGATAAATCCAGAGAATAGAAGTACTAAAAAATATTTTTCGATAAAAAGCAACGCAAAACTCTATGTAATACTAGTCATGATCATGTATATGTGCATATTATAAAATATATTGATCGGATCGAAATGAAAGATCGAGCAGGGTAAACTATTTTTCGCATAAATATTAGCCATCACAGATGATAACTTTAGATCTACATATTCTAAATTACGAAATACGGAAAAATAAATATTATTAATAAATTATAATAAATGTACACATATTAATGTACATTTATTATAATTTATTAATAATATTTGAGCATATTAATAAATTATAATAAATGTGTGCACTATAAGAAAGGTTGCAGGGGTTAAAAATGCTACGGGAAATGCGTTATATATATTAATAAATGGCCGATCACTAAAAAAGTAATCTGCTTTCATGGCGAAGACTTGCCTTCGTAGCAAGGTAGCCGGAAACCAATAACGCTGAAAATTGACTATATCATCTGCGCTCCAGAATGGCAGAAAAAATGATCGATCCGATGATATTGCGTCCGAGATACTCAATATCGTTTTTCCCACTCGCAGTTAACATGTATCTTGATAAAGTTAAATTGAGCTGTACAAAATAGAGTTCAAGAATAAAGAGCTGGATAAAAAAGATCATTTCTGAGTATATTGTTAGTAAAATAATAGAAACAGCTAGCGCATGATTATATTTTTGTGAGAGAAAAAAAAAAATATATATATATATATTTAATTATTTTTTTTCTTAAATTTTGTGGAAACTGTGGAAATTTTAATTATATAGACCAAAAAACGAGAGAAGAGAAATATATACACAGTCTACGATTTATTCAGAAAATATAATACTTCTCCTCTATTCTCTATGTTTATCCTTAAAATATTGCATGTAAAGAAAACGAATGAAAGGAATGTTCTCTTTAGTTTTCAGTATAATTTTCACACATTGTACGAGCTTATTTTGTCGCACAAGTACAAATTATAATATATGAAAGAGAATGTTTAGGTATAGAGAATCTTTTTTTCTATGTATAATTTTTACATTTTCTATGCAAAATTATTCTTTAATAAAAAATGTATAATTTAGATTATATTAATATTTGTATGAATAAGAATGAAATAATGAGAGACTTTTTCCTCTCTTTTTTATATTTCTGCATCATTTTGCAGACACAAATATAAGAAACTATCTGTGAATTCTCTCTCTTTCTTTCTCAAGATAGCTTATAAAGTTACTTAAATCGTCCAACTTTATAGTTCATTCCTTTTTCATTTTTAGGCACTACTGTCATATACATATTTTCATTTTTTTTCAAGCTTAATATATTATTACTCTACATCTATATTGCTTTGCGTCTACATTAGCGTCTACTCGCGCACGAAACATTTCACCTGACTGCATTTAGTAGCACATTGTCAGACGTTACTTCCAGCTGGTGTACGCGCCCAATGTCGCAACGTCCTTAGACGCGCATGTCGAGGTATCTTGAATGAGGCTCAGAGGAAGACGCACCGTCGATTTTGCCTTGCTGGTTCAAACTGAATATTCCTGGTGGAAATCGTCGATTTTCGCCAGAACGCCCAAATGTGTACTCTCACTCTGCCTTTTCCTCTCGCCCTCTCTCTCTTTCTCTCTTCATTATAGACCTCGACAAATTGACACCTTTAATAATGACCTAAGCCTCTTAACTTAGCACGAAATATCAAGCGCAGTCATGCGAGTTGCATTCGGTTCTGGCACAATGGTAAATTCTTGACGAAAGTTCGCGGTACCGCGAAATGGAACTCAATTGTTCCGCACGTTTTCCAATTAGTTCGCTGTGACAGCTCTCGCTCCTCTTCTCGCGTCGTGTTGCCTTTAACTCTCGACGTGAATAAGTCATCGTGGAACTCGTCTCGACGAACATTTTAGTTCGTTGCTTTCAAATTAGAGTTTTTATTATAATTGATTCAATGTAATTCGAAAAATACTTTTTATTGCATCGAGTATACGTAAATTTTCTCATTCATTTTACTAATTTATTTAATAATTTATTTTACTAATTTATTTTACTATTTAATAATTTATTTTACTAATTTATTTTACTATTTAATAATTTATTTTACTAATTTATTTTACTATTTAATAATTTATTTTACTAATTTATTTTACTATTTAATAATTTATTTTACTAATTTATTTTAGTAATTTTGTTTGCAGATTTACGAAAAAAATAATAAGCTAATTTTTGTATAAATTTATGTGTATGTAGATTTGCTAATGTAAGTCTCAATAAAATTGTTTCTCTTTTGTTATAGCTTGGATAGAGATCAACCATTTACCTTCCAACTGGGTGTAGGACAAGTCATCAAAGGATGGGATCAGGGTCTCTTGGACATGTGTGTGGGTGAAAAGAGAAAGTTGACGATACCACCGGAACTTGGATATGGCGAGAAAGGTGCCGGAAACGTTATTCCTGGTGGTATGTAACTTTCTGCTATTTAATTTAATATTTACTATTTTAATTTAATATTTGCTTAGACATATTTGTAGATATTTACATTAAACTTTTGTGCATGCATGTATAAAGTTTTTTATCCTCACTATGTTACAAGATAATATGTATTCAATAAAACTATTAATAAAATAATAATAATAATATAATAATAATGAATAATAATATAATTGATATATAAATACTGCGAATATAATTGTATGTTAAAATATATAAAAAATACGTTTTAATTGCTTAATTACGTTAAAATAATACATGTACACATCAATAGAATATATTATATAAATTGTATCAAAAAATGAAAGTTTTAATGAACAGTTTTAAATAAACAGTTTAAATGTTAAATAATTTCTCTAATACTTACGTTATATAAATATTAATACAGAGGGAATATAAAAGTTTTATTATTTATTCTATATTATTTTTATTTTCGACAGAATTTATTTTATAAGTAGTAAAATTTTAATTCAATGTTTGTATGTGCACATAGATTTTAATTAGTAATTTTATTAAAATTATTTTTTATTTATTTCTTTGTATAAATAAATCTGGCGATTTTTAAATTATCTTTATAATTAAAAATATTTTATGAGGAAAAAGTTGACAATATTTATTTACGCATATTGAGATAGTAATATATAAAATAAGGTTATTTGTTGAATTTTATTAGGAAATTAATTGACTTTCCTTTATATATTTTTTTATATACTATTATAGCATTTCGAGATTGTTATAATATTGTTACAATAATTTCTCTCTTTATTAAATATAATAAAACTATCTTTTCTAACAGAAAATTAAATTTGCAATAAAAATATAATTTAACAATTTACGCGCCTTTTCACGGATTAAGCAATTTCTTCTCATTTAAATCTTTAATTAATTCCTGACAAATTATTTTGAACGTAAAGAATTATAGCGATTGTTTCCCCTTAATTAAAAATTTTTACATTTTACCGTAAGCATCCACGAATAAATGGCGGGTGCTATAATTTCTTCACTTTTTTACACTTGTGACGCAGCTGTCTGTTGCCTCTCTAATTGTAGCGAACTCTACTATCAATCGAGGTACGCGCCAATAGGTGTATATTCGCCAATCAACTGAACTGCAACGGTGTACATTGCGATTAAAAGGCGTCATGCTGACATGGGCATTTTTCAAATTACACAGGGGATCGTTTTTACGTGCGCGATGAGGGGATTAGGGGGAAATAGAGAACTGGAAGAGGAAAGGGAAAGAAGGGGAGTACGCGCTGAGCAATATCAGGCAGGTCGATACAAGGGTAGTCGTTAGTAGCGGAATCGAAGTCAAAAATGCAATTGCACGGAAATCCAATAAAGCATCAACCATTAAATTGAGCACTATTACGCGGCTCTCTACAACCGGCGGAATCAACAGTGATGAACGATTCGCCTCTTTCGCAGCGTAGATAAATCGCCTGTTACGCGCCAGTTTCTCTGCTTATTCGTATTATTTTTTAAATGCAAAATCCGCGAGTTTATTCAGAATCGATACGAGCCTTGACTAGTTGAAATGTAATTGCTCGCAAATCCGTAATTATTAACCGCACTTTTATTGAGGATCATTATGAGGATTTAATCTCAGTATTATGTTAATTATATAAATATACACAAGTATGCATATATATCAATATTAAAATATATAATAATAATTATAATTAAAATATACAATTATATATAATAATAGATAAATAATTAAAATATTAAACTATGTAATTAACAGTTAATTATATTTAGTCCCTGTATGAACATGTAATATAAAAATGAAAAATTAATAAATATAAATATCATATATAGGAAATACATAAATTTTGTCACTTTGTAATCTACAGCCTTCTTATAAATTTATTGCATCATAAAATCATGTTAAATGCCTGCTTTATATTCATTTTCAAACTATCTATATCGGTATCTTTACTCTCGTACAAGTAACAGACAAAGATGAGAAAGACTAAGAGAGAAGGAGACTCGAAATAATTCCATTTAAAATGGTATCATCTCTCTCTCTTTACTTCTCACGTTCAATTTCAACAGCGACACTGGTGCATTATTATTCGCCGTATTAATTTCACTCGTTTAAATAGTGAATAATTAAGCGCCATATTTCATTAGGGCCGGCTTAATCGCGACGGGACCATCCATAATTAATGGCTGGACGTGCCGGGCGCGCGTATGCATTCTCTCTCGCGCCGAACACTTCGTTAGCCCTCCCATCCCTTTCCCCAGACGAATTTGCTGGTCATTGTTATTTCAGATATCTATAGACGCCGTTATTGGCGATCAAATTTCTGTATGCGACGTTATTAGCGATCGGCGAAATGTATGCGTACATATGATTAATTCTGTCACACTTTACGAGCTTAATCTTGATAATGTATTTCATAAATTTTTTTAGTACTATTGAAGAAGTTTTATAATAATGTTAAACAGTCGAGCGTTAATTAATAATATCAATGGTGAAAAAATGTACAAGAGAACATATCATTTAAAAATAATTAATCTTTGATACACCATTTTATTTCTGTAGATTCATCTTTTTTTTGATATAACGCAAACGAATTTTTTTGTTTTTATATAAACTAAACAAATTTTCGTATATAAAATACTCTTTAATATTTTTCGCATATGATATCGTTTACAGATGAATATATGCAAGTAAAATTAATTTTGAAATAGTGAAATATAATCATATATACTTCTATTATGGAATAAACTTGAAAATATAAGATATTTTTCAAATATTTATTTTCAAATATTTATTTTCAGATATTTATAATATATCTATTGATAAAAAGAGATCATTATCGGAGAAGTAAATTAGAATTCGAATAATATAAATGTATCAATAAGATATATATTTTACAAATATATGCAAATACGCGTTGAAATGTATCATTATAAAAAGTTTAATTTTTAGAATTGCACTATTTCTGGAAAAATATTGACTCATTAAGGATATCGAATCGTTAACAAGCGAATATTTGAAGTAATAGCTAAATTAACTTTAATTCACAGATAAATGAAAATATAATGCAATGACTGATATTTAAATTTATAGCATGGATTTGCGCGATATTATCCATCCTTTTACAATTGGATTTCGTTCCTCACACACTTTTTATGATTTTAGTTACAATATTACCTTCTTTTCTTGTTTATCTTTATTATTTTTATAATTTGAGAAAAGCTCTGCATCTTTTCTTCTCTCAATTAGAGATATTTTCATTCACCTCATATATATGTTTTGTCTCTTATATATGTGTTTTGTACATCGTACACGTTGATTTGTGCGATTTGTCGTTATATCGTGCTCGTATTCCTCGTGTATATCATCAAAACGCGTGAAAAGCTTTATCGCCCGACAGCAGATCGATGCGTTCTAAAAATGATTAATGAGTACTTGTCAAATCCAGATTAATAGTATTTCAAAAATGGATAAATCTTTTGACTCGTAAAATGGGAATCTTGTTGCATCCCAATTTGCATCAAAGAGGATTTTCCCAGTGTATTATACGCATTATTCATGATATTAAAAAATACATCTTTTATAACATTTTAATCTTAGCAAAGTGTGGAATAAATAAAATTTCTAGAGGATCTTTCTCATATATGTGTAAATTTTGAAGAAACGAATATTTTCATTAAACTTTGTGATTTTATTCTAAATCGTATAATTAATATCACGCATACTGAGCTTGATAAAATATTTTAGATAAATACACATACATATAGGTATAATAGACACATATTAAAATATAAGTAAAAAAAAGAATTAAATAATTTTAAAAAATTATCTTAATTTAGTGATTTTTAATTGATAAAAATGGATTCTTTATTATATTTAAAAATATTACAGTGATTATATATTATCTATCTATTAAACAAGCAAATTCTTTATTGTTACATTTTCATAATTTATTTACATCATGCAAGTTATTAATTCGAAAAGTAATTGATTTCAGGTGCTACTCTTACATTCGAGGTTGAGCTCATGAACATTAGCGACTCACCACCAACTGCTAATGTTTTCAAGGAAATCGATGCCGACAAAGACAATCAGCTGTCCCGCGAGGAGGTGAGAGCAATGGCAAGATCACTTTAAGTTCTTTTCATTTGGGTCTTTTGTGGTGCTGGTCGTAGAGCTACTTGAATCTCTGATTTCAAGCTATTTGTTTTCATAAACTCGGCTAAATTAATGTGTAGAATATTAATGCAATTTATTTGTATTTTAACCACTTTTGCGTGAATGGTGATAAAAAAAATTTTATGTTATAGAATAATTTATATTTTCATATTTGTATCATATTATAGAAAATATATGTGTGATATGTATAAAATAAAATCACATAAACTTTAATCAGTGCCTGCTGCGAGACGTTACAAAGATTGAAAGTCACAAGTAATTTTTATAGAAATAGAAAAATAAATCATTTTTATAAAAATTGAGAAATAAATTCAAGATTTCCTTTTCCGAGCAAGACGATATTTTGTACTGTAAGAATAATAATATTAATCATACATAATAATTCGCTTCAATCTAATTTACAGCTTAATTTAAAATCTAACACAATTAATTTACATTAACCTGTATATTTCTTTGCATACACTCGCATTATTTTAATCACTTTTAGTTAATTCGTACGTGGTGAACGTTTTCTTTTGTAGGTGAGCGATTACCTGCGAAAACAAGTGATAGAAGCGGAGCAAGCTGGAGCCGGGGAAAATGAAGATGTGAAGAAAATGCTGGCTGATCACGATAAACTCGTCGAGGAGATCTTCCAGCACGAGGACAAGGACAAGAATGGCTTCATCTCCCACGACGAGTTCAGTGGGCCGAAGCACGATGAGCTCTGAAGTCTTTGTCCCGCATCATCGCGTCTCCGAGCGCCCGTTGTCGGCGTCCTCGTCGATCTTGCCGTCGACGACGCCGTCGCGCCCCGCGCCACCACGTGTTCACCTCTGTATAAAATCACCTCTTTGAGTCCCCTCTCGGGGATTCCTGAAGGATCCATTGATCGATCGCCCCGGGCACACGCGTTCTGGAGCTCGCAAGACCAACCGAATTTACCAAACTTTCCCAGCTCGGCCTCACTGACACTCGCAACGCAAGAGGGATGCGACCTTCGGGAATCTCCGGTACTCGTGGAGTCCTACTCGTATCCTTGATTGCAGGAAACCTCCGGCGTAGGTGGACGAGATCGGCAACAAAGCTCGAAAATCCGCAACTAGTTTCGAAAGTGATTTGGAGAAGTCTTTCGAAGCACGAGAGCCGTTCGATGGCTAAATCCATAATTTCAAGATTTTTTTTTTTTTTTGATTTTTCAATCCTCCGGATGTGTGATCTTGAATGGAGGATACGGTTGCACTCGTTCGGAATAGGAATCGCGATGACATCCCGCGAGTCCATCTAATACGCACAGCATTGCTCGAGAACCTATAAAGGGAATCTCGACCGACTTCTATATAATCGCCACCTGAATCTCTCTAATTCTAGCACAATTTACTAGGAACATCTGCAAGTCTTTCATTGTCGCTTAATGATATTTTGTTTTATATTTATCCAAAAACAGGATAAAATTTTATTTCCGACATTTTGTCAGTAATAAGATTTTAAGCAAATATTATTTCAGTTATCTGAAATTGTTTTCGGCAAAATTGGAACGTTTTACGCATTTTTTATGAATTATTTTCATAAATTTTTTATAAATTATTAAAAATAATAAAATCTAATTTATTTTAAATTTTATTAAATAAAATTGTATTTCAACTTTTATTAAATAAAATTGCTATCGATGAGACATAAACTCGCCATCTACTAAATTGTAAAAAATATACGTATCAAATGAATAAAACAATTTTTTAAACAATCAATTCGATTTTAAAACGTTCTGAAAGCAAACGCTTCATGAACATCCATGACAAAATTTTCGCGGATATTCCTAGATAGGCGACATTCCGGCGTGACGACGCTACTGTACATTTTAATACAATATTACAACAAAATAAATGAAAAAAAAAATGCACGAATGCTCGAATGATTGCACTGTCGTGGCGTGAAGTGAAAGGCTGTGTGTGTTCCGCTATATGTATTATATATAAATATAAAGAGAGAAAGAGAGAGATTGTGATGACAGAGAGCGAGAAAAGATATGTGACGGAGAAAGTGTTTTTTCTACATGATTATAAATGTTAGCATAACTCAAAGGCATCGACATATGGTGCTAAAAATCACATACATTCTATCCTATTCTCTCAAAGCTTCCACCAAAACTCCCCTCTCTTTCCCGCCCCTCAATCTCCCTTATCCCAGGCCAAAACGATCCCTTGCTCGAGAATCGCTCGCGCGATATTCACGTTAGGAGACGAGAAGAGGATGACGAGGAAGAAGAGGAGGAAGAAACAACCCCGAGGATGCGCAGTGGAGATAAATGTGGTCGCTCTTACGCGAGCCTCCCCCTATCGTCGCTATCATTATTACATTTTAACTGATGCGTTTTTATTACTACATTATATTGTATGTTGTTAAAGTTGGACGAAGGTTAATAATAAATCATGTGTCTCGAGCACAGTTTGTTATATAACCACCTCTTTCAATTTCTGCATCCCCCGTCTGAATGTTTAATCGCAGCATTATAATTTTTTCGCGTAGAAATCAAATATTATTATAAAAATATATTTTTTATAATACACTTTTTGTGCATCCATCTTAACCAATTAGATTCCGTAGATTATAACTTGGATCAGATTGTGTCGTTTAATATCTGTATTATTTAATTTTTTTTAATCATTGATTACACGTAATAAGAAATTACTTTCTCTGTCTTTCAGAATTTTCTATTTATTTTTTAAATTTTATTTTAAATTGACTTTCGAATAGATAATTGATAATTATTTTTATCATTTATTTAAAATATATAAAAACATAAAAATGAAATATAGAAATTTTTGCATTAAAATTAATATCTTTAATAATTTTTTATTTAATTATTTTAATTATTATTCACAAATTAGAAGATTAAATTCAAACTTTGAAATCTGAGAAATTCTAATATTGATTTATAATAACTATTTAATAATTATCCATTTGTTATTTTATATTTATTATATTGATCATTAACTCAATACACTTACCTCCTTTGTTACAGAAGTTCAACAAATTCGGGGATGAAACGAAAAGAATTGTATTTGAAAAGAGAAGGAAAGAAAGTGGATCAAAATTACAAAAATTCTCATTCATTTATAATGATTTCACATTTTATTTCAAGAAGTATTTCCACAGAAAGATTACAATGATTGCGATTATGCGCCTCTACGAAACGCAATAATAAAATGATGATTAAGATATCTAAGTTGCTAGGCGTGTCGTGCTGTTAGAATTTTACGTTGTCCAGCATATATTGATATGTTCGCTATTTGACAGGAATCATTCTAGAATAATTATTTCGCAAAATAGCAGTTTCTTCGTTTCAAACAAATCGACGCAAAAGCGTCGATTATTCGAATGGTCGGACTTAAAAATCGATCGATAAAAATTCGTCAAGGCACGTGATTTTATATATGATTATCGAGTCGACCCTGTCTCGCGTCCGCGATTCGTGTAAATAGTCAATTACAATTAATATTTAATTGTCGCGCGAATAAGATTCATCTCAACTCCATGAATATCGCTGTCGAATTAGCAGTGATAGATGAATCTGATAATTGGGGTGCTGAGTTGTTGTCCGCGATTTCAAGAAAAATGGTACTCCATAAACTTATATACCTTAGAAGAAAAACAATTCACGCTACTTCGCTAATAATATTAATATAAAATATTTCAGATCTATTTTTTAGTATAAAAATTTTTATACATTAAAGATTCCATTCAAAAAATCTTCACACCAGAGAAAGTAACTTTATCGGGAGAACATGTGCTTGTATATCATTAAATACGAAGGAACTATTGTGACAACTAGTGTAAATTTACACATATCATGCTTCAATTCACCGAATTATCTAAATTGATAAGTTCAAAAGATATTATAAAATGCAATTTCCTCTTGTATCGATATATTTTGAACTTACCTTTACACAATTTTTAATTTCCTTCTATGGCAATTATTCACATTTAACGAAAATAATAATCTGTTGCATAATCAGATGCAACACTTTGTCAGCTTAAATCGCACATATGCAGCATATATCATTATTTATAAGCATTCTTTTATTAAAAATGCTTTTTATTATATATGCTCTATTATGTAGGCAACACGATACTTCTTATACACGCAAAATAATAAAATAACTCTTTTTCATTCTCAATTGTTTCTATAATTGTTCCACAATGAGTGCAATTCCTACTCAAATTTCTTTCAATTTATTTCTCTACGAGATGACTAGGCCGTAACCGAATTCAAATGTGCCGATTATCAGCTGATCGATTGATTACTCAACAACTCAGCATCTCATTTTCTTATTTATTCATTTCTATCACCTCCGATCGCGTATAATATCTAAAATACATATGTAAGCAACGCGCGTATAACTTTCAACAAGAAAATAAGACAACATAGAGAAAATCCTACGAAACCACGTCGTGAAAGTTTTCAGAAATTTTAGAAGTAAAGAAAGTTTGTTTCGTGAAACACAGAAATTTCCCTACAAGACAGAGAGACATAACTAGGAAATCTACAAAAGGTAGAGAAATTCTTATAGAGTCTCTAGTACATAAGAGATATCTTCCTTTGCACGCGAACGACGCGAAGAGGAACCCATTCACTTAATCATTCTTAAGCCTAAATCACCGATTAATATTTGCCTAATTCATTCAGACGAGACACATTTTTTTTTCATTATTCCTTTACTTATTATTTCTTGATAAATCGAATGACAGAGGTGCATATGCACGAAGTGCACGCGAGGGGCTTAACGCGAGTATCAAACTCGACGACATGTCACGGAGTCGTGTCATTCGACTTTGGAGCATCCTGATAATAAAACGGCGGACAGGATCCTATAGCCGAGATCTCGACGGGGATCGCGATGTTTTCACCGAGCTTCTGCCCCTTCGCGATGTCGACGTCTCCCTTCGTCCCACGTTTTTCGTGAGAGCATGTCGTGATCTTCGAGTATTATCACAGTCAGTAGCCCTTGATGTAGGCGGCGATGTGCTTTTTCTCCTCCTCTGAGAGACCGTTCTTTAGCGTTCTACGCACTGAAAGAGAAGGTAACATAGTGGCTGGCGCCAAAAACACTTTTCATGTTGTTATATAAGCAAATGTGGTGTAAGTCGCTTTTCTTGTCGCTTTTAACTCACACATCTCTTTTAAGTATTTTACATGTATAATAATGTAAAAGAAATTTCTTGTCTTTTATTATACCTTTTCATAAATACGAAAAGTCTCTCGTTAATTTATGTATTAAAATAGAGAGAAATATTTTGACATTTTAAATTTTCAAAAATTTAAATATTCGACAAATTATTACACCTGACACCACCTCTGCTTAGAATCCTCTAAATTATCTATTGGAAACTTTTCCCAATTAAAAATTCCCAAGATGAGATAAGCAATAGTAGTAGAAAAGTCACAATTGAATTTAACAAGCTATTTAACGCATTTGCATTGCATTTTAGACTTGATGTCTTTCATATTATTTGCACATTCACAGTGTTTATAAATTAGCTTCAATATAATATGACGAAGGATGTAAAAAATGATGAGTATTTTAAAAGCGTATTATAAATATTATATAAGTATTATAATGTACTATTGCAACAATCCAAGAAGCATGCTGCAAAAGTTAGAGAAAAATATAGCTGTGTTATAATTTTATTTATAATATTATTATGATCCTCGTGTGTCGCATGAACGTTTTTATGTCGATTCACGTCGTAATGCACTAGTATCTCTTAGGAAATCGTATTAACGTTTAATTAACGAGTTGCAGATGTTTGCTCAAGGTTAATTTCATACGTAATTTTTTTCAAAACAATTCTTAATTCTTAATAATTTATCTATTGCGTGCAATAGCAGCAATTTTTACATGAATCCTGCAAGGATATATTACGATTTAATTTTGAGTTATGCATATGAATTTTCTGATTGCCAGATTTTGACATATATATATTTCCTATTTATAATTTGTTTTGTTTAATATATATTAGTATTGGCTAATATTATGATTCTTTCAATTACGCGTGAAGAAGATATATAAATTAATTAATTTAGCTTAACACAAAGGAAGAAAAACTTGAATCCATTGAACATAATCAAAATAATATAAATATCAAAATAATATAAATATCAAAATATCAAAATAATATAAATATCAAAATAATGTAAATAAAAAAATTAATTGACAATTATAACATATCAGATGTTAATTTTCCTGTTTCATATCGATGAAAATGTTAGCATAATCATTTGAGATATTAATAGTAACATTGATAAGTATGTATGTCGGAATTATGTTCATTTGTATCATGCTATTTTGATCATAAATAATTAACCAGGAGTTAATTTGCCATTTTGGAGATTAATCATGTAATGATTGTTCATACATTCAATAGTAAATAAATCATTTCACAACTATGAAAGGAATGTATATTGCTATACCTAGGAAATTATTGTAATCAATGTAAAATTTTCCAAAAAAAAGTACTAATCGCAATAACAGAATATTTTAATTATACATAAATTCTATTTCTACAAATTCAAAACTAAAATAAATATATAAAATAAAATACACTTATTAAAACTTTTTGTCACAACGATAAAAATACTAATTTATATATAAGGCAGAAATTTATTTTATTAAGAAATATACATTTTTAAAAATATATTTGAAAATTAATAATTTTTAAAAATATAATTAAAAATATTAAAAGAAGAAGGAAAAGTAGAAATATTATATTTTATTTCGTAAATTATATATTTCTATATAATAATTCTATATAATAATTGTTTTTAAATTTTATATTGTACAAAGCACTATAAAAAAATATTGTGATTTAATAAAGAAAATTTAATAAAGAAAATTGTGGTAATACTTTAAATTCACTGATATAATTATGATCTCAGATTTTATATTTTAAATTGTTATATCAATAAATGGTAAAATTTAAAAAAAATATATATAATGTATGTGTGTAAAAAAAATACGCGATAGTATGCAAAAAAAATCAACAATTTCAATTACGTATTTGATTCTCATTAAGATTAATTCTGGTTATTAAAGACAGTCACGAATTAGCGCATTATCTTGTGATTGCGGTTTTATTATTTCGTAAATATAAGATCGATTGTAACGAACGTGAATATATCTACTCGGAAATAACGATATTATCATCGCGGACCCTCGATATCGATACCAATGTCTTTGATCTGGTATCATGTAACAAAGGAGTCTTTCGATACGACTGTAAACTAAACAGAATTGGACGTATATTTTCTTCCTTGAACAATTACCTGCTATTTCTTTGATCCTTCTCGTTATCCTTACAGTCGCATTTGCGTTTTCCATAAAGAGAAAATCCATACATATTATAATTCTCTTCTTCTTACTGTAAGGCTGATAATGATATTTTAACTCAAAATATTTATAATATTTTGAGTTAAAATATCATATCAGATAAAATTAACGTAACTAAAATATTTTTATACATAAAATTTCAATAATATTTAAATTAACCAGCTCATAAAAGATTATGCAGATTATAAATAAAATAAATGTCATCCTTGAAAAATTCATGTAAATATTTTTGTACAATTATGTCACTGATAAATTATCAAAATATTAGCAGCGATATTTTAGTCTTTCCATTATAATCGAATTCTTATTCTTTCGTAAATTTTAATTTTTCCATAAAAGGTACCATACGTAATGCCTAATATTTTATCTCCCCTTCCTCGCTATTGTCGTTAGAATCGATGGAACTTCGTGTCGTGTGGCGTTCCAATTTAATGTTGCAGTTAAATCGCTCGTGCTCCAACGACTTTACAAACACAAAATCCGAGAGCTGATTATTTGGTGTGTTACGTGGGGATGTCACGTATGTTACGTAAACGCACGCAATTTATACGCGTCGTGCCGTGAACGTGTCGTTAATGAAATGTAAACCAATTACACTCAGTGTTCGCTTCAATCAAATATCTTTCCTAGCTTTTGCATGAATTTGATAATAACGGACAAATTCTCACTGTGTATGAGCAAATGCGATTATTATGCTGCAATACGGTATTGCTAATTAATACAGTAGCATTGTTATAGATTGTCCGCTTTATTGGCAATTAATCACTGAAAATGATGTATTTTAAATAACAATTTGTAATTGTAAATATATTTCATAATTGCATTCTTTGTAAAGTTCTTTATATAACTAAACACGCGCGTAATAAACATTTATTCGTCGTTTCAATTTTTAGCCATCATAATAGTAATGATAAAAATTTTTAGATTAGCAAATGTTAACATTTTAATAAATATGATATTTAATTATAATATTAGAAATTTTTATAAATATCACAAATCCCTCGATTGAATATTCAATATTAAATTTAAAAAATTTTTTGAAATATTATATATCATATTTTAAAGATATTAGAAAATAAAAATTAATACATAACTTTTTTAATGAAATTAATTTTGTGGAAAGTTATAATTACAGTTTCCATTTTCCGATTTTAATCTCCTTCACGGCAACAATTACTATAATGAATAAAAAATCAAGCTATAGATTGATAGTTTATGTTCGACATAATGTTAGCGTGGTAATGAAAATCATAGTTTATGCTCAGACGATCGCACATCGATAAATCATTCCGCGCCAATCCAGGCATGGCACATCAATAATTTCGCTAGCTAGCGAACTTCTGTATTGCATGGATCGATGCGAACACTCTGCAGGCACCTTCTGCAGGTCAGACTTTGATGTGCTTCGAGTAACAAGAAGACTCAACATCTTAAGATTATTAAAAATAAATTCATTCGTCGACCGCTTTTCAATAGATTCATCTTAAGCACTCCGCAGCACATTCAAGAAGCATCATTTTTCATTCAAAGAAATTTTTATCTATCTTGAATTCTCCTCCCTCCCCTTCTAGAATCAATCCGATATTTTTTCAGAATATATATAATTGTGTTGTAATAAAAATTTATATAATTGTGTTGTAATAAAAATTTTTCTAACTATAAATAATCTATAGCCACGTGTTTCTTAACGACCTATTTTTTAGAGAGCGAAATTAAATGTAATCTTTTTACATATCAAAACTTTTTACATAATAAGTTTCCTTATGAAGGCTATAAGATAAATTGAGATTGCGTGATTTTCACAGAAATACTTCGATAAGGGGTAATCAGAATACAGTTTTCGCTAAAAATTATATTTATAAATATGCATGTGCGTGTCCATATATGTATTTATACATATGTACGAGTATGGGAAGAACATTTGTATCGAGCTTTAAATGCAAATAGATGAAAAGCGTGGTGGGCTTATACCAGGCGTCGCAAGTTTGCATGCAAGAGGGACATTCGCATTGCGTAAGTCTCTATTAAGTCGAGAAACTTAGACACCAACGGCTCCGTTTAGAAAGCGAACTTTTTACTTATCCTCTTCCCCTCCCACGCCTCCTGCCGACGAATTTAGCCTCACTTATGCATATTATGGGCAACTCAAATTGCACAAAGTTCAAGGCGTATGATCTTAACGTATTCGGTTATCCAAAAGCAAAGTCTCAAAGTTTTGAAATAGCTTTCAGCTTTTCGCGAGAAGCAGTCGTAGCATAAATATGCATCCTATTATAATTTAATTTCCCAAATAATCAAGGTATATTTGTGAGACTTGAGTTGTATTTTATATTAATGCACATTCCTTTTAATAGAATCATAATTTCCTTGAACTTCATTAAATTTCGATTTCTCTCTGATTGTTATGAATTAAAAGAGGTGAAATTAAACAACACGATTACATAATTTTAATTGCTTACAACTATACAATTTTCAATTAAAATTTTCTGAATAAAGTAAAATACAAATAATTCAGAACGAATTAATTTAGTAAGAGAAATGCGAATCCCCCCATTAAAAATATCATCAATCTTATTAATGATTGATAATAATTTTATTAATAAGCCACGAAATCAATATATTAATAAAACTACCTTAAATGTTAGAAGAAAATGCGGATGAAAAATCATGCAAATAATGCATGCCATGCTGGGTGAAAGAAGGCCGTAAAGGGGAAACCTTAAAAAGCACTAAACCTTAATCGCAGAGATCACGAAACCTGGCCCATCAGGGTTGATACCCCTCCGGCGTAGTGTTGTTCTCTCGGGTGCGCGATCGCTTCACTGTCGGACAGAAAGAAGAGAGACGCAAGAACGCTAGGCCACCCCGTTAGCAAGCCATTGTTGCTAATATTAACTGAAGTAAAGTTATCCGAGCGTGCCTAATTTCAGAGTAGTGATTGGATCCACCGGATTAGTGATCGGAGATGAAAGTGAATCGAGACCATCACCGCAGATCCCGTGACAGTTCCATCAAAGAAGGATAATTGGGCAAAGAACAAATCGAAATGAAGGAGAAGAAGTAGGATAGACTCTCCACCCCCGAGAAATACTTTTGGAAAGTCGTTTACAGGCCGAACATGCTGTCGTAATGACGAATGTTATCTTTTATAGTTAATAATTTTTCATGTGTGTCCACTGTATTACTGTGTTTAAAGATTAATTTTCTCTTCTAATCCCATAAATTATTACACAACCATTATTACCAGCGAAGATTTCTTTTCGAGACCTTAATAAGAATTTTTATTTTTTCGAAAAAATATTCTCATATATTTATAACTTTTGTAAATATTATATTTATAAATATTGTTATATATTTATAAAACTTATTTAAATATTGTTATATATATTTATAAAACTTTTCCTTGAATGAGAGAATTATATCTAACAATATATTCATATGTTTATGTTCATATTGATTATATTACATAAATGTCGAGAAATTCGAAACTTCCACACAAAATCAAACAGAAAAATCGTTTCCGATTATCGAAATATGAATCGGTTCTATTCGAATTAAATATTAAATACGCCATTTTTCCTCTCAACAATGACGAAACGAAAATATCTCGATTCGTTCGAGCGCATATTGAACTCGGATTTATCATAGGTATCGCGGGGGGGAAAGATCGATCAATGCATTCGGCGATCGGATTACACCGAGATTTACACGCCATCGGCTCAGCAGCAAGGATTATTTCGACTTTCTACGTATCGAGAGATCGATCAACGTTCCGACAAAACAAAAACGTAGGAACGATATAATCTACCGGTATTGTTACGATGGTGTTATATTATTTTTGCTGAATTTTTCGTTGTGATTTTTTCGTTGTCAGATTTACGTTCGTAAATGTATGTACATGTACGTTGTAAACTTTGATCTTTCAGTCGTAAATGTAATTATCAGCGAAATTTCTTTCTGACTGACAAACAAAATCTGCTCAGGTGTGTGTGTTGTCTATATAATATTTATATATCAGTATTATAAGATTTATGCCAAATTTCAGAAGCGTTCGTTTAGGATATTTTTGTATAAAATTTAACTAAATTTTTCTCTAGATAAATTTTAATTTGATGTTTAATTATTAAAATAATTAATATTGAGAACTGAAGGCTTTAAATAATTCAATTAATATAATTTTATTCTAACTAATTAATAATAAAATGTATTTTTCAATTTCAAGTTTATTCGAATAAGAATTGATTATCTAGAATTGAATAAATAATTAAAATGTTTTAGCATATTGTGTCTCCTCTTCTCTTTTCTTTTTTTTTAATTATTGTAAATTAGAAAAGCATTTCAAATTAAAAAATATATACATGCATATCTGAAATTTTAATTTATATGAATTATTTATATTTACTTTATGCATTATGCATGTGTTCATTTATATACATACTTATAAATATGTATAATATTGTATTTGTGCAATTTTCTCTAATTACACTTTATTATTATGTGTAATTTTATGTTATATATTGCAACACCTAATTTAAAAATATTGTCCAATTCATCTCATAGAAAATTTTTAATTGAATACAGACCTAAATTAATTAGAATTTCGTATCAATTTACAGAAGTACGTTAAGATAGATAAACGAGCTCGAATATTGAGATAGAGATAGAGAGATCGGTGCTAATAAAGTGCATAAAAGATACAAAAAAGATCGAATCAACGACACGCGTACGATCGCATGTTCGATCTAGGGCGTCGACGCCGACATTTCCAAACTTCTCGCTTATCGATCGACTCCGGTGACCCCACAGCTCTATTCGTGGACCAACCGTTTTCAATAATGTATACTGCGTACCGGATAATTCAAGGCCCTTGTGGCATCGAAAGTTATTGGAAAATTTTACGGTGAGCACCGTATTTCAGTGTTTCCTGTTGCCAATGAAACTTCAATGTCGAATTTTCACGTTGCTTGTAAATTCCCGTTTCGTTGGAAATTTATATATTAAATTATACACGCGTATATATATACAAAGAAAAAAACAACAAATTATTAACTAAAATCATATTTGAGAATGTATTATTATATTAATTAATAATTTGCTAATTTCTTAAATTATTACATATTATAATAATATTATAATAATATATTATAATATATTATATATTATATATATATAATATATTATAATAATATATAATAATTATATAATATTACATATTATCTTGATACTTAAAATATCATTTTGTGATATGTATATTGTAATATTTAATTACGATAAAAAAATCTATGTTGCATCCACAAATAGGCTGTCGTATAGGAATCCACTACCGATTGATAGATCGATTCCGCGACCGGAAATCGTTCGATAAAGAGGAGAATCTTGGTGCATGGTGCTGGGATCACACTTACAAGACTTACGATCGGCGTGTCTGGTCCTCTTGCGCTCGCGTGGCGTGGTTCTCGTGGCTGGTGTTTTCGTCGCGGTTTTTACCAGAGACTCCAACAGCTCGTCAACACCATCAGCCAAATTACCGTTACTGCTTTCATCTCTGAGCACCGGACCCAGTGGAATTATACGTCCTAAAACAAATTTTTTTTCCTCCTGCTCTGATAATCTATAAAATTTCTTTCAATAATTTCGTCTTCTTAAGATATCTCCACATTTCTGCGTTATTCATGTAAAGTATACTTTGCAAATGTTCATAGTATTTATTTGTCAGAAATTTGAATTTATTAGTCCGTTTTTGAATGAATTTTTATTAGTCCGTTTTTGAATGAATTTTTCTCTCATAAATCTAGAATTTCTGTGTATTTTCGAGGATTTATTTCGCGAAACGAAACTTCGTTAACAATAAAACTTGTGCATGTATTATGGCAATGGTCTCAGGTGTTACTTTCAACCATCCTCACAATTCAAAGATAGATTTTCGCGTTTATTCATGCAGAATAATCCTCAAAAAGATGCTTAACAGAGACAACTCTCTATTTGAAAAGTGTATCTACAGAATTCGTCTTCCACATCGTCTCACTATCTTATTTTCTACAGTCATCCCGTTCAGTCCGCAGGGCAGTAACTTTGAAACTGTCAAATGCACAGAATTTCTTTTACAGAGCTTCTTTCAAACTCGTCCCAGAAAAGCTATCATGGCGGTAGTTCCACTCTCGATACAAGAGTTGTGGAAAAGGAGATGAGATAGAAAAAGGGTGAGAGGGTGGTAATAGAATTTTCATGGACGAAGCAAAAAGTGTAAAGAAAAGTCCTTCAGTCTCGCTTATTACGCGTTCTTTGATGGTCAATCTACACAATTCATTTCCGTGATTATTCTATCGTGAGGAATGTTAAACGCTATCAAATGATTTCCTGTTCGCTGGTTTGATACGGATCCTGATAATGCTACATTTTACATACTTTATGTATTCATTGCATAAGATTGGAATGAATAATACAATAGAATTCTGATTATAAAGGAACAAGCTGCGAAAATATGTAAATACGATTTTATTTAATCTAAAGAAACTCGATTAAAATAACGTAAAAATCATAAAATCAAACAGCATAAAATCATAAAATCGCATATCTAATATTAAATTAAATCAAATATCACTATTTTATATAAAAATACAGTTACTAATTATATTTATAACTTTGATAACATTTCGATTTTGAAATACATGAATAGAGTTTGAAGCGTGTTGTTAAAAAAATCGCGAAATTAAATAAATTAATATTATATTAATATTATTCCAAAAATCGTTTCACTTGTAATTTCATTCTTTTTCATACGTTTTTTATTAGCACAAAAATTAATCTTTAAAAAGATATTGCAAAAAACAAAGACACGTTTGCGACGAATTTTCGCAAAAGAAACAATTTCGAATTCCTCGTCACTATTATTAGCTAATCAAATTAGCAATTATTGTCGCACAATTCACGAGGTTTTTAGTTGGAGCTATCAAGACTGCCAAGAGGATCGTCACATCCAGCTAGATATGCCTGCGCGACTTAGACGGGACGTTTAGATATTTTATGTCGGAGCATGCACGGGAATAAAGAGGAGAAAAGTTATGATGGCCACAGCCGTGGTAATGCACATGAGTGGTTAGGTTTACGAGCCGTACAGGACTGAATGGGCACCAGCCCTTGTTCCCCGAGTCGGTCCAATCCTCCGCGTACCTCTCTTCTGCGAGAAGAGAAGGAAATAAAAATTCCACGTTTCCTCAAGAAAGTGATGATCCGCGCTTACAAGGTAATATAGTCTTACGAGATCCAGGCGTGTCAGTCGTTTCTGTTGGATCTTCTCCCCCCTGGAATAGCTTTTGCGAGGTTTTGCTCATAAGTAATAGAGATAGATCTTTGTAAAGTGTGGATGGATTCCCCGATCTTAAATTGAATATCTGACTGCCGCATTCATCGCGATAAGATATAATTATAATACTTCAAGTATTTAACAAAAACATGAATAGAAATAAAATATCTTGGGATGTTACATTAAAGTAAAAGTAGAGATATTCATAAACGTGCTTTAATTAAATCTATATAATTCTGTAATTAATTAATAGTCAGTCTCTTAGCATTGATTTTAATTTTCATGATTATGCTTTTTAAAAGAAATTGAATTTATAAAAACTTAAGTTCCAATCTTCCCATGGAAGTAGACAAACTTCGGAAGTAGAACCAATTTGCAATATTATTCTTAGTACCAAAAAATATATATTTGCTAATTGAATTCGATAAATAAATTATTTATGATAAATTATTTATAATAACGGGTGACAGATAGAATAGCTGAAGAAAATATAATAAATTGAATATAACGAATATAAAACTTGTGACAATAAGGTCTTTCTGTGCGAATGCTAGAAATGAATTTTTTAGAAGCTGTTATTCACGACTCTTATATACACTTCTCTCCGCGTTGACTCGAATAACATGCACGTCGCTTCGAAATATTCCCTCTGAAAGTTAACTACTTTTGCATTCTGCTCCCCCGAGACGACGTTATCATCTTACGTAACGACGCATAAAGCGCGATGAAGAATGAATGGAACAAAAAATTCCACTCAAGTTGAAATTTCCCTCCCAAGAATGCGGAATTTTACGAAACAACCCCCGACTGCGCCGAAGACATCTTATCTCGACGCCTCGCGCAATGATAATGCTACTTACAACGCCGAGTTTACATTTACACTCGACTCTCTTAACGGGCGCGACGAATGATACAAGCGGCCTCAAACATTTCGCAGTCGCGAATTTCGAGCGAGAAAATTCAAGTCGCATAAAATGGAGAACAAGTCCCTGCGCTATGAAGATAACGAACAGAGACTTGCGCACCGGGGCAAGTTTCACGTTCCGCTAAACACGAGGGGAAAGGACGAAGAAAGGAACTCGGATCCTTCCGCGAACGCGCCGTATAATCACGAGGACGGCGACGCATTTACTTCTCGTTTTCCGGTAATGTCGTCAAATGACCCGGCGCTATCCTTAAATCTTGCTTGCGAGAGCTGCTGCTTAAGGGCGACATTTATCTCGCGCGCGCCGCCGCCACCGCCGAGCTGAAACATTACGGAGATGAAGAGAAATCCTCGCACTTTGTTCTTATCCACGCTGGAATAGCCGAGGCGGCCACCGCCATTTAGAGTGCGTTATTTTCGCGAGTTAAAAGCGACGCCAAATAGAGGCTCCTACTCATATCGCCGTCATTTTACGCTAGCGATGGCAAAATCTCGTTCACCCGATCGCGAAACCGATACCCGACTTGCGTGCTTAACTCATAAATATTCATAATAATTTAAAATAAATATTCATAATAATTAAAAATTCATAAATATTATTCATAAATACACAGAAAAAAAGAAGGGTCAAATCAAAATTGATATACTTAAACTAATGCGTTCATTGTTTCGTAACAATACGCAAAAATTTCTAATCTTCTTAGAAGAATTTAATAATTTTAAATTTCAACAATATTATAGTCTTATTTTAATTGTAAATAATTTAATATCGCTAATCGAATAATCAAAGGATCATTGAAAAATTGTAGTCGACCAAAGCTTAGCCAAAAAATTAAGTTTATTAATACGACGTTTCGACCATATGGTTGTGGTCTTATTTTAATATTGTATTCGTCACCTCATGAATATATAATTATTTAATTCTACTTTAAGAAAATTATAATCTTTGATTTAAAAATGTTATTTTCGATTCAACATTGTTTCTTTTCCATTCCAAGAAAATTAAATCTTAAATCATAAGAATATATTTTTCTTGATTGAATTATATAAAATGGCTTCATTCAAGTAAGCAATTATTCAAGTAATTATATTTTTCTTTAATTAACGCGATATAATCTCATTTCAAGATTTCCATGTTAAAACTAAATATACTTTCAAAGCAAGAATGTCTTTTTTTCTGTGTATAATTCATAAAGCTTTGTTATATTTCTTTGCGACTTTTTCTAATTAAAACAAACAAATATAATGTGCGTGTGAGTGGCATAATATTGTAACATTTGGCTCGATTATTTATTAAAAAATGAATCGTTGCATATTACATGTGATATATTCATGTGATGTATTCGTGTATGAGCACTAAAAATTCAAAATACCTTTCGGCCACATATCACAATACGTTCACTATATTATAATGAGTAATGGAGCATAATGAATTATTAAATATTATATATTTCTACTTAAAATAGCTATTGTTGCATATTGCATTTGAAATAGCACCATGCACTTCGATTTAATTGTAGCTTAAATTATTCACTGCTATTGATAATGTAGAATATTAATTACTGCATATTTACCAGGCAAAATTTATTACACAAAAGAAAAAAAATAAGTCAAAATGAAAGCAGGAAAATAGAAGGAAAAAAATTTAAAAAGAGGGAAAAGGAGAGAATTTTTGACAGAACTCACCGTCTTTCCTTTGTCTTCGCCATGGTAAAGTACCGTGAATACTCTCAACATCTGAAATGTCACTGCCAAGTAGTTGTCTGAGTTCCGCGTCCGCCCGATCCTCTTTTGTGCGAAACTTGCCGACCTGTAACAAAAACAAAAGATTTCAAATCTGGAAAAATGTGCGAAATTTTATGAAAAAAAAAATATATATATATATTTTAATAATATAGAAATTATTTATAGAAGACTTAATCTCTCTCGCAGATATTAAAAAATAAAAATTAATGCTAGAACAACCAGCATTAAATATATAAGTTTTATCACATCAATTTGACAGATATTTGAAGAAATATTTTATTTGTTATTAGTTTTAATTTTTTTCAATAGTTCTCAGTTACCAAAGTTTTTAATATTTCACATTTATTTTTTATATTAAAATAAAATTATTCTGAATATTTATATATTATATTATTCCCAGTAACTTAGCGCTTATTGCATGAGTTTTAGCGTACTAACAACAAAAATGCGATTTCCCAAATTATTACCGATATATCTTTATTTTTACATGTGTATCAGACATACATACACAATTGCACAAGAAAAGAAAATGTAAAAATCACAGAAAAAATTATTTTCTGATCTATGTAAATTAACGTCACTTTAATATTGATGAAAGGTTAAATTCGAAACCGAGATGTACAACATCAAAGATATATCAGATATATCAGAGATATAAGAATAATAAATCTAGCCGATAGAAGTTTTTCGACGAAAAACAGATGATACAGATGAAACAAAAATGCCTTACCTCCGTTATCATCTTTCCTCTGGTCTTATTGCGTTCCCGATGATTGGCTTTCTTCTCGAGCTGCTGTATCACTCGCTCCCTGGTGGTTCTATACTCCAAAGCAAATTCGGATACAATCCTGCAAAACTCGTTCGGTTTCGTGTCTTGTATTCTGTGCAATGGTATACCGAGCCATAAGATGAATTTCCGGAAACGATTTATGATGCGTCTGTGTACGATGTTTAAGACGATTATCCTCTCGGCGCAATCGGCAAGAAAATCAGACATCCTGCGGCATAAGGAGGGAACAATGTGTATTTTCAAGAGAACATATGTTATATCTTAATAAACAATTTTATGGAATACAAATAAATGAAACTAATAATTCTAACAAATTAAATGCCTTTTAACCGTCCTATTTAAATAAACAAGAAATATTAGAAATATTTATAAGCAAGTGTTTTGAAATGCATAAGAAGGAAAAGTATTTGACAAAAAGCGTAATTAAAAATATCACGATAGATAAAAACTGCAAGTCTATTAGAAGATTGAAAGTGCAATGCGAATAATAACTGACAGAAAATTCGAGTGGAAAGTCTCGAGGGAGAAGAAAATCTTCCTTCGATAATTAATGGAAGTTCCACTTGGATGGCAGCCAGTTTTACTGGAGAAAAAAAAACATTTATCGAACTTGGAACTTCTTAAACGCGAACGCTCAGGAAGATACTCAGGAAGAGGGAATCTCGGAAATTGGTTCGCAGACAGTGAAACTCGACGAGAATTATACTCACTTGACCTTCATCATTGTGGAACCATCGTGCTTCGCAATGAGCTTGAGATGGTCCCAAGACGCTTTACACTCGCTCTCGAGTTTCGCGATGTTCGCCGCCAGCTCGTCGAAATCGATTTTCGAGGCTCTCGTTACCGCGCCGATCTGAAAGCAGAACCACATCGACGATACCGAGAAAGCTATTCCAAGTTAAGAAATACGTGAAAGATAGTTTAAAGTTGATCTAAAGTTATTGCATTTCTCTCTTTCTCTCTTTTTATAATAAAAATAATTTTATAATAAAAATAATTTTTAATCTCTTTTTATATTTTAATTTTTAATCTCTTTTTATAATAAAAATAATTTTATCATGTAAAAGGTATCGTTCATAATCTAGATATTATATTCACGTATTATAATGAATTATAATGAATTATAATAAAATATAAAGATTGTTTCTATTTCGATTTTTATTTTCTATTTTTTTTCTCCTGGCTCTATCATTAAAATATCTTTCTAATATTATTTAATCAAGCATTATACAATTATTTAAAAAATAACATATTTAATTATTATGAAAAAGTGCAAATTAATATATTGAGAGTTTTGAGAATTGTCAATTCTATTATCTCATCTTATTAATTTTTTTAAATGTAACTGATATTATAAGAAAATAAATAGTTGTATATCATTTAAATTTAGAAATAAGATAAATTCATTTATATTAATACATTTTGTATATGTTATAATGTTATATGTTATATGTATATCTTATAAAAATTAACGAAATGCAAAAGAAATACTCTACAATAGAAAATGTGCACATTACAGTAATCGAAACTCTTGGAATTTTTGCAGAATCAATCGAGGTTAATAGAATTCCGAAAGCGATTTAAGAAAAGGTAATTTCGCATAGACTCGAAACTCGAGCGATTCGAGTTAATCGGGTAGAATAAAATCACGATGTCTTTCGAAAAAGTTGTGCCAATATGAACAAACAAACTTTGTCACATTTCGTATATACGGTCGCCCTATCGCGACACCTCGACGAAAAGTTTTCTCTAGCTTTCAACTAAAACAGTCTCTCACCTCGGAATAAAGGTCCGTAGAATCCGGGAACTTCTCCATCACCATGTGGCAGAGATGATGAAGCAGCGAATGCTTGTGAACTGTATCCTTCACTTCAGGTACTTTGACGAGGTATTCTAGTTGAAAGCCCTTCACCTGAAAAAGGGTGAAACCCTCGTGACACGACGCATCGCCGGAAAAATAGCGTGTCTAGTTTCGAAGATCGTAAATTTCGAAATTTTCGCGAGGAAAAGAAATGGAGCTCTCTTAAAATAATTATAATTAGGAACGAAATTATTAGCATAATTAATTTCCATCAAATTTATATTAATTCCTGACAAATAGAAGATAAATAAAGAATATACAAATATAAAGAGTTTGCACCGAAAATAGATTATTCTTAAATTTTGTAACGTCATCGTTCTCGCAATCGATAAATATACATTACACTTTCGACGCGTTTCTATTTTTCACTTCTGCTAGAATCTCGCGTGAGGTAACATTAAACTTGATTTTAAAAATTGATATTTATTCATTTATAATGCATATATATAATGCAAATCTAAAACATTATGAACATGAAATACTATAATAAATATTAAGATTAGAGATATTCAAGTATAATACAATATAATGTTACAGTGATTTATAAGTATAAAAGAATATTTTATTATTAACGTATATATTAAATAAAGGTGAAAACTGTGAAAAATGTTATGGTCCATAAAAACACATACATTTTTTAAATTCAATAATTCTAATTGTGTCGTTAGAATTTTTACTTAGTATATATTTATTGTATTTGAATTTAATTATTAGTCAAATTCTTTAATTATTATTTCAAAGATTTTTGTAATCTATCAAATAAAATTAAAATTTTATATAACATTAAAAAATAAAATTTTTATATAACATATAAACATAAAAATTTCATTCATATAATGCATATATTTGTATTAATTCAGTGTATCGTTCCGAAATTAATTCGATGCAAATCTAGCTATCGGAAATTGCGATGAAACTTTTTTAATACAGTGAATATCTCGTCATAACTCTTGAAAATTCCAGCGTCGTTCGGGGAATAAATAGCGAGCCGTAATTGCAATAAAACTCCGTATTAAACCGAGATTGTTTTCGAAAAAATGTGGCAGTCAGCCAAGTGGCATGTGAGGTATCTCGCTCGACCAGCAGTTAGAACAAAATTATCGATATCATCGAGAACTTCGTACTTCTACGAATCTGCCAGATTACGGGACAGACGGATTAAACGGATATCATTTGGCTGGCATTCAATACCCACCTCATTTCCGTTGAGAAATATCCCGATCGAAAGAAGCGTGCTCAGAATCCCACGGAACGTTTTATTCACACGCAGGGTCTCCATACCTTGCTTGAGATCCATCAAAGGATCCGCGATTTCCTGAAAGTTACAAAGACCGCATCACGGTTTATTTCGTCTCGTCTCGCATATCCGCTCGTTATCGTATTGATTTTCATAATTATGCGTACACTGTTGCATACTGGAATTTCTGAAATCATTAATTCACGAATTCCAGAAGCGAATTTTAAACTAATTTTATTTTCATTCTAACCAGAAGCGAACAAAATTTGATCGGAAAGAGACAGTCATTCTTCATATGACATGATATATTAAATATTAAAAATTAAATATTAAATTAATATTAAATTAAATATTAAAAATTTTAACATTTACATTACATTTATTTACAATTTAAATTTGTAACTTTTTTGGAATATTTTTATTAATTTTGTCATTATCAATCTTTTAGCAATGCATTTTTGTAATAATCGAGAAACGGCGTATCTCACACCATCACATTTCGAAACTATGCAAATAGATACAAAAAGAATCGAGTATCCTGATGAGAGGTATTTCGCGCTATGGCTACGGTCGAGCGATACTGAGGAAGCCAGGTCGTCAAGTGACCTTTCTTAGTTCCTGCACAATATCGGAATTCGCGATTTTGTCGTTGAAGGAATGCGCGGAGAACGCTCTTCTAGCTACCAACATCCTCTGACTGCATTGCTAGCATTCCTTCTCATCATCTTCACACTAGAGAAAATCTCACGCAAAGTCGGGAAAAAGAGAGGGGAAGAGAGAAAAGGAAAACTAAATGCCAATTTATGCACACTAATTAAATCCAATGAATATAACAGCAATTTAAAATTAAAATCGCTGTCATATTTATAATATTGTTTGCGCAAGCATGTTCCTTTTGATAAATTATTGTACTTCGTAAACAATATATTAAAGAAACAAAAATTGAAATTATGTTTTGTTCTGAAAATTTAAGTTTAATGTATTATCTCCATTGATGAATTATTTGAAACACATAGAAAATTATTTAATTAAATAATATTTAAACCGACAGTAATGTATCATTCATTCAAAAAAAGAATTAATTTATTAAATAAATTTAAAAAATTAATTATAAAATCATAGACACACGTTATAAATCACAAATTATAGATTTTACCATTTTTACGAACGTAAATAATTTCGCAAAAAACTATGCAATTTCTTAAGATCGATAATTCATGAAATCGACAGAAATTTATTGTTAAATTATTCAATAGAAAAAAGAATGTACAATATAAGATTTTTTTACTTACTTTCTCAGAATTTTCGAAATCCAATTTGAACGCCCAGAGCTTCAGTCTTGCTGGCAATTCCGAGATGGAGGTCAAAGTCAGAAGAAATTGCTCAGCCGATCCTAAAGGAAGATCAGGATTGGCGGCCTGCGCTTCTTGTATCCTGGACTTTTCTTCCTTAGTTGGCAGCATCGTCAAAAGTTTCTATCGGAAGGATTTCGTGGCAGGAAGGGAATGAACGAAGAAGAAAAGCCAATTGAAAATTAGAAAAATCATAAAAAATTCGAAACTTAAGATATATAGGAGTGCTTCTCAACTGAATCGTGAGGTCGATCGTAAACATAAATTGATAAATTTGCAAAGTACTCTATCGGTTATAAATTAAAGCAGGATCGGTGAGATTTATTTGGACAAACGTTCAATACGCGAAGAAAAATCGAAAGATTGATTAAGAATATATGTGAGATCAAAACTACAAAATTAAAACGAGGGATAAAAAATAACGATGACGAACTTTGCGTAAAAAATTGTTTAGAATAATTTTTATTTCATCAAGAAATATAAAATGGTTAAAATATAACGCGTGCATATGTACCTTCGATTTTTTAATATTACATATAGATATATGTATATTTTTTTTTTAAATTTTATATAACTTTTTAATAGTTTCGCGAATAGTTATACTATAAAATAAAAATTCGAACAAAAAGAATAAAAGAGTGTATGAAATATTCTCACCTCGATACCCTCTCTATTCATGATTGTAGCGTCCATTTTTAGGATCGCAGTTTTAATGGATCTCGGTGGTGGCAGCTTTGTCATACCAATATTGATGGCGTTGGACCTTTTGTGATTCAGCACGATAATCTCCTTGTTCTTGTTCATTTCTTGTTGCTTCTACTTGTCAAAAATAATAGAAAATCTTCATTGATATCGAATGTTTGCGCATGATATAGTTTAACATTTTTGTTATTAATTCGTAGCATTTGAGATTATTAAAAATTGATATATTAATTAGTTAGTATTTATTACCGTGCATTAACAAATACCTCCCTAGACGAATATAAAAAGTTATAAAATAGAAAGCTATAAAATATAGAAAGTTATAAAATATCGAAACACATCATACAGATTCGTGAATATATTTTATATATATGTAAAAAACAGAGAGAATATTAAACAGAATAAATGCATTTTTTATTGAAAGCCAGGATATATATTCTCTGTATATTTTACGTATATATAAAGTATATTCACGAATCTGTATGATGTGTTTCGATATTTTATAACTTTCTATTTTGTTTATATACGCGCAGATGTATATACTTGTGTATATATGCGCGATTATTCGTGTGAATAACTTTGAATGCTTGCATTCAAAATTGTTTGGCTCCATAGATGAACTATTGGGTCCAATCCAATTTAACAACTATCATGCAACAATATAAAAAATCATAAAACTATTTTCTTTACAAAAAATTCTCTTACTATAAAGATACATACTTCACTTATAAAAAATATAATTCTCAATATATATGAAAATGAAAATTATGCGAATATTCGTTTACAGTAAATCTAAATAGAAAAAGTAAAATTTAGCACATAAAAAAATAAAATATAAATATTGTACATAATAAAATAAAAATATAATAGATAATAAATAATTTAAAATAATCTTAACTACAAAAGATAGAAAAGAATATCCGATAAAAAATTTAAAACGTTTCATAAATGCTTTATATAATCTAAATTTATAGAAAATAAAGTATATAATGTTTGAAATATTGAAAGCCCTATTTTTATCATAATGTCAATTGCATCAGTCATTTTTTAAATCAGTTAATATATATTAGAAATTCAAAAATGAAATTGTGAAAAATACAAAGTCAGAAAATACACTCGCACAAGAATTTTTAAATAATATTAATATAAAAAAATATTATATAACCAAACATATATAGACATCGCAAATCGTTCCATCGATTGACGCGGTGTCCTTACATGCCTCAATAAAAATCTGATGAGTATGAAACAAAAGCAGAAATTGTAATTGCCTATCACCCATATCGTCACGATTATGTTAAAAATAACATCCCCCATTAATTGATCCTCAGTAAATTGATCAATTACGATGAGGAATGTCCACGAAATAACAAACGCAGGAGAGATTCACACCAGTGAAAGTCTTCGAGGAGTGAAATAAAATCTGCCGTGAAATCTCCATTAATTAATGCTTTATTATCGGCATGAGATCGATCGCGCCAGATAGCAAAAGACACTTGTGGGAAGATCCACTCGAAACACATGCACGTACATGAGCAGAATCGCGCGGAAAGTTAAGGAATTAAGACTCACCTCCTGTAAAAATCCGCATGCCATTTCGTTCATTTTTTTTTCGTGCGAGCACCAACAACATTGCCAAGAATACAAGAAGAAGATTAGTCGTATTGCAGTAAACCATCATCACCATCACCAACCCGCTATTATTCGACCGTCGTAATAATCGTTATTCATGTCCGTTATCATAACCGTTATCCTCACGCGATATAGTTACGGTTAACCGCTACTATTAAATTAGCAGATGTTATTCTACAACCCTAATTTGATAATTATATATCTGTGTGTATGTGTGTGAGGCCGAATACAAAACTAAAAGCGAAAGTTAATATGAATGAAAATTTACTCAATTCTTTCACTTTTATTTCACATCTCTCTCCCTTTATGGAAATAAAAATTTATAAATATATTTCAGAAAATATGTAATAAATTAAAATATATAAATATAATCATATCTAGTGTGTATTTAACGAAACAAAATGACGTGATTACAATTTTGTCATTTTGTTCTCATTTCAAAAAGATGAAATAATTAAATAAAAATATTATTATTGTCACATATTTATATTAAACATCATATTAAAAATATAAGAAAAAAAGAAAGAGAAAGAAAAATCATATTCTAAGAAAATTAATTTATATAAATTTTTAATGAAACGCATCCTAAGAAACCTTGTAATATTTTAACGAAACAAAATGACGTGATTACAATTTTGTCATTTTGTTCTCATTTCAATAAGATAAAATAATTAAATAAAAATATTATTTTTGTCACATATTTATATTAAACATCATATTAAAAATGTAAGAAAAAAAGAGAGAAAGAAAAGTCATATTCTAAGAAAATTAATTTATATAAATTTTTAATAAAACGCATCCTAAGAAACCTTGTAATATTTTAACGAAACAAAATGACGTGATTACAATTTTGTCATTTTGTTCTCATTTCAAAAAGATGAAATAATTAAATAAAAATATTATTATTGTTCATATATTTATATTAAACATCATATTAAAAATATAAGAAAAAAAAAGAGAGAGAGAAAAGTCATATTCTAAGAAAATTAATTTATATAAATTTTTAATAAAACGCATCCTAAGAAATCTTGTAATATTTTAACGAAACAAAATGACGTGATTACAATTTTGTCATTTTGTTCTCATTTCAATAAGATAAAATAATTAAATAAAAATATTATTTTTGTCACATATTTATATTTATATTAAACATCATATTAAAAATATAAGAAAGAGAGAGAGAGAGAGAGAGAGAGAGAGAGAGAGAGAGAGAGAGAGAGAGAGAAGTCATATTCTAAGAAAATTAATTTATATAATAAATTGAAAGCCATATTCTAAGAAATCTTTTATATAATAAATTCTAAAAATCTTTTATATAATAAATTGAAAGTCATATTCTAAGAAAATTAATTTATATAATAAATAAAAATTTTAATTTATATAAATTTTTAATAAAATGCATCCTAGGAAATCTTGTAATATTTTCTTCAATTATTTATTATTCTTTTCTCCAATTATTATTATTATTTATATATAATTTATATTTTTATATTAAAAAATTATTGATTCTTTTTCCCTGTAACTCTCAAGAATAATAGTTATCGCTCTAATGTTTTATAATCCCTTCTATTGATCTCAAGCTTCTCCACAACAATCGCTACTCTAGTGCACTTCGTGCGCCGATTTTTCCAATCTTCCTCTCTATTAGTTCAGAACATGCGACGTTCGTGGTCCTGATTTACGACGTCACGGAACGAGTAATACAACATCATTATTCGCGTCGAAGACGAGTTTTCTTCTTATACCCTTTGTTCTTACTTACACCCTTGCTTCGTCACCCGCGAACTCGCGATTTTCATGACGCGCGGCCACTTTTTCACCCTTTTTTACGAGCGCAGGTCAACTGTAATTACCGGTGTGCTAAGGTAGGTTCAAAGGGCGAGGAACAGCAACGTCAGAAACAGCCGGAACGGAGAAATAATGCAGGGGCTTTCAGTAATGCTCGAAAAATATGCGCAGCCCAGTCGCACTCGTTATACCATCGTACGATATATACCACTTGCTGCGATTTAGTTGCGCACACATACGAATTACACAAGTGAGGAAACGAATATAATCGCGCCGTGTAATTACTACGGCAATTAACGACGCTATTTTCTACTCAATTGCGATGCCAATCGGCGAAAAATTCTTGGTAGCCTTCTGACACAAGAGAGAGGGAATAAATTATGCGTTTTTATTTTTTATAGAATGATCGTATATTGATTCTTCTGTTGATTCTTTTTGATTAGAGATAAATTACTCAGATTAAATTATTTAAAAAATTGTTGCAAGTTTAGTTTGTGAAAACTTTATACTAAAATCAATACATTCTCTTTCTCTCTCTCTTTCTATTAAATACTAATTTAAGGTATTAACTTATATTTATAGTTTGATTAAAATTTAAAACTTTTAAAATTCGTTTACATTAGTCAAATAATCGCCACGTTTAATTACTTTCTTCAATTTTACGGTGAGAAGATATAAAAGATGGGTCATGAATATGTATATAAATGAATCAAGAAGCTCGTTGCATCGTCCTTAGTTGAGGCATGCATAATTACTGTTAAAGCGGTTTCTTTTACGATAGAAATAAATGCAGCAGTAGCTGCATAAACAAAAGATGAAGAAGATAATTTGCGACACCAACACCGTAACGAGAAAGGTTAAAACCAACGAACATTTCAGAAGCTATTTCCTTTGATATTTCTGGTTCTCATTTCCTGATTAACATAATTATAATCTTGGGATCCATTAAGCTTAAATAAAATGGACTACAATTGGACTATTGCCATTATCTGCAATCGGAAAAATATAACTTAAAAAAAAATTTATTTGTTAACTAATTTTACTTAACAAAAATTAATCTTTTATTGCATATTAATAAAAATGTGAAAATTTATAGAAAATCTAATATATAAGAAGAAATAATAAGCAAAAAAATAATTAATATTATCATAAATATTTCATCGACTAAAAATAGATAAAACGTTATCAAACAGAACTTAAATGAATTAAATAAAATTCAAAACTCTAAAATAAATCGACAATATCGCCTCGGTTATTTTAGTTGAATATATCTACGGAAAGAAAGCAATTAACTTTATAATATAAAATAAGCTATACTTTAAAGTTTTGATCATATTTAGTTAAACAATATTTACATTAATTAACATCTACAATATCGCGTTAATTAATCTTTCTCTCTAAATTAATGTAGAATTTTATTTTGGAAAATTGTGAATGTGATTGTTTCATAATTATATCCAATTAAAATGAATCATAAATTTAACTTTTCATTATATAACTATGTCCAATTATGATCTCGCATAGCAATGTAGGATAATTAATTCCAATTTTAAATATTCAAATTATAAATGATACGATGCATCAAATTGATGCAATGTAAAAACTTCTCCTTTAAATACACGCAACCCTAAATTGTTGAATCAATAAACAAGTGGAGGTTGTGTACATAGGATTGTAGATATACGCTTTATACACATCGAAATTTTAGAACCATAGAAAGGCCATTCTTCTTTACCTCGCTTGAGCAAAGAATGAACATTAACTTTTCCCACAAAAACTGACCAATCACAAAATAGCTAACACCGAGAGCAAATCAGGAAGTAAAGTAAAAAGTGAATTAAATTATAATAAATGATAGGGTAATGTATCATTAATTATTGTCTTCTCTTGAGAATGATAAGATTGATTAATTGCAGTTTTTTCATGAAGATAAATAGGCTAACTAGTCAACACTGCCATTATTACTAGAACAATAAGTATAATGACATGACTCAAAAATAGAAAAAATGTCTCCTATTGAAAACGTCGAAGAAATACGTAAATACAAAATTATAACATACAACATCTCAAGAAAACAGTCGAGATTGGACGTCGTTTAAACGAGCATCGTTCCGCACGTCATTCTCCTGTTCATTCGACAATGAAATTCACGGTTCGTCGCTCGTATGGCAAATCGTAATGGAAGTCAAACTTAGAGACTACTCACCTTGGTGATGAGATCCTTGGCGCGACTCTCGAAAAGGTGCTCGAGTTTCTGCGTGTCGACGGCTACGGGTGACAGCTCGTCCCAGATCATCTTATGTTTGTCGAGGCGCGCGAGGATATTGGGATCGTCTCGTACCTCCTTCCAGAACAATTTCACAGTCTTTTTGCTTTTCTTCGCGAGCAACGACGGTAGACTTTTCGGCGCCTCGTTGGCCGGCGGTCTCGATATCTTCAGGTTGACGCCGAAGGGCAGTGGCGGACCCTGAGGAAGCGGCGGTGGTAGTCTCGCGTTCAACGGCGGTGGCGGAGGTGCCAGAATATCTCCAGCCGGGGGTGCCATCGGCGGTGGCGGGGGTGGCACTCCGTTCGTCACATTAGCGGATCCTAGCACGTCGATCTCATCGTCGGAATTCAGATCGGTGAAGTCGAGGTCGCAGAGCGCGAGCGGTCTCTTCAGCTTCTTCACCAGTTCCTCCCAGTGCAGCTCGTTCTCGGACTTCTTCGTCTCCTGCAGCTTGGGCAGATTGTCTCCGGTCGGCGACTTCAGCACGTCCGCCTTTGATTTGGACTTTGCCAGGCCCTCCTTCGCCTTCGAAATCAGCCCGCTCATATCTCCTATTCTGAAGAGACGCGTGAAAAATGCTGGATATATTTAATGACGCATTTTACGAATATACATTTCTCAAATGTAGCATAAAATGGAGAGCGAAAGTCCATAAAAGGACAAGATAAATGGAATAACGAATATAATATGTATCTCGATTTAATTTTGCCCAACAATATTGATTCGCTGAATTATGTGAATTAATTGTTTATGTGTACAGAGATAAGCGACATGATTATCGTACATTTAAATTTTATTATTAAATATAGGAACAATCTTTAGTTTAATTCTGATGATTAATAATATAATGTTCTTTATGTATTTATTATAACATGAAAATTACTGGAATCACAAATTGCCTGTCGTATAATTTAATCTTTTCAAACATGTTCCAACCGATTTTCCTGATAATACTCTCATACAAATAGTATCATCAAACATTATTTAGTATACACTTTACAATAATATATTAATGTATTACTCAAATTTGATTGGCTAAAGACTTTTATGTCATGACAAAATTTACTCAAGATAAGACTGCTTATCGATTTTGCTGAAAGTTTCGTATCCGGCGGCGACAGAAAACTAACTTTTATACGAACCGCGCTACTTTTGCAATATCCTGCGTAAAATTAACTCGATGGAACTTCCGGCTCGAGCACGACAAAGTTTGTGCAACTCTTCCAGCCCTCAAGTACTATTGCTGTTGTCAATACCTCGCGCTATCCTAATACGCTATTTTCCACTTCCACTTGTCATAAAAGTTAAAACAACTTTTGCGCTTAAAGATATTAATACACGCGATTAATAAGAAAACTTTTTAGAGAAATACCATGAATAAAATAAAATTATATCAACAGAGATATATTTTTTTTTAATTTTATTTAAATGATCTATTGTCTTTTCGTTCTTATTAAATTATATATTAAATAGGCTTACGTGAATTTGAGGCTTTTCCGTGTCGCAATTTCATTTCTTCTCATATTTAAGTTTATACTAAAGCTTAAATACGAATATGGGATAAAGATGCAAGGGATAAATTAATCGAGCAACGTACATCTGAAATGAAGGTGCCTTTGTCGAAATTACCTGGAAACTTTCTCCTCCACAGGACTGCTAGGTATAAGATTCTGTGCCGCCAACTTCTGCGTGAGATCCTTGACGGTACCTTCCCTCTTAAGCTGTAGAACCACTCGACGATCCCCATCTTCGTCAGTGTGATTACTCTCGTCGTACTCGACACCTTCGTTGGGACTTTTGCCGTACCACGGTTTCTTCTCCTCCGAGTCGAGCTTGTTCGCCGCATTCATCAAGGGCGTCAAGTCCTTCCTGCTGTTCGTTCTAGACAACTTGTTCGAGGGAGAATCAGCGTTTCTCTCATAAGAGGTGCCGTTCGTGTATCGTAGACTGTTCGATGCGAACTGACCTTTAATAGCAAAACGATAAATAATATTTATTATTATAATATAGAATCTCCTTGTGCTAATTTTGAAAAAAAAATATAGGCATATATAAGAATTAAATTTGCCTGATAATTTTGAAATAAAAACTTGGTTCACGAAATTTCACAATTTTATCTATATGAATTGATATATAAAATATGAAATTCAATAAAATTTCTTTTCTGTGAGAACGAAAATCATATTGTTATGTAATATAATTGAAGATATAGATATAGATAAAAAGATAAAATAAATTGAAACGATAAAAATGTACCAAAATGATCCATAAGCACTCACTTTCCTGATCATCGGTGTGGCCAAGCGAAGCTCTCATGTTTGCAGTAGCCTCTTGCTGCTCCCTAATAAAGCTCCTCTGTCTTTCTGCACGTTCCCTTCGCCGTCTTAGTGCTGGTGTAACACCAACATCCACTGAAACAAGCGATTTTCCATTAAAAGAAATTGCATACATCTCAATATGCATTTAAAAATCAGTTGATTTACTCTACAAATTAAATATTTACTACAAATTTCTTCAAAATCTAAATTAAATTTGTTTTAAATTTAGTTTTTAAATTTATTTTAAATTAAGTTTATTGAATTAAAATGCAAAAATAATAGTGCATCGTAATATAAATAATATAGATAGTAATATAAATATATAATACATTATTTAAAAATAATCTAACAAAAATAATAATAATATTATGCGTTCTTTGTAAAAAGATAAATCGCAAGATATTCAACTTGTGATGTGGTATTCGGTCTGGCGTATATTTGATATCTTCAGAAATCTAATGGAACATTTATGCTGACCGCGTATCGCGTCTCCGATGAAATGCGCAAGGGAACTGAAAACCGCAAGGTCTCAGTAGGCAATTCGATGCGGGAATCGTACCCCGTGGGCATCCAAGTTTGTATTCATCATGAAATCGAATTGCTAACGAATCAATATATACCAATTGAGATGTCTAATGTATTCGAGAAAATTATTAACCTCGGAATTTTTTAATATTACTTACATAATTTCAATCTTCGCTATTATTGGAATTTATTTAACATATGGTCAGTTTTTTTTGATAAAAACATTATTGGGAAAGAATATAAAGAGGTAATAATCATGATAATTTTTAAGGCAGAATTAAAAAAGCCTAAAAGATATTGATTTTAAATGTATAATCCTTGTCAGAAAAATGTTTAAATCAGCTTTATCATATAAAAGCTGCAGAAACACATTTTTGCAGTCAATTTTCGCAGGAATATAAAGTGAGTTTATTTCTTTACTTTACCTATTAAAAATTTCGACATTCAGATATGCACTGTTATTCACTGTTACGATGCTCAGTTATATTATATAAGACCAGTAATTTAGCCATAACAATAGACGAGCAAAGAGTAAATAAACTTTTTTAGGAAGCTCTTAACCGAGAATGCATATAAATAATTCAAAACTTGCGGAACAAAGTATATCTACTTTATTACTGCGAAAGCAAAATTTATTAAATAAAGAATTTATTTATAATAAATATAATTTTTCTTGCGAATAAAAAGATTTTATTTATAAGTAGTATTTATTTAGACATAGTTATGACAGAAGAAAAAGAGAGAGAAAGAAGGAGACAGAGGAAGAATTACCTTTATTCTCTTTATAACTGCCGTTGAGTTGAACTTCACCCAGATGACCGTGGGAACTTTGAGAGCTACTTGATTCGTCGTCATCATCTGGTAAGTTGGAGTTCAAGGTGTTGTTCAGTGAGCTCACACCCAGAGAATGATTAAGTCGTGGACTTAGACGTGCATTCAAGGACATCGACAAAGGCGAATTACCTGTCGAATGTCTCCGAGATTTTCGTCGTTCGTGAGAATCCACTAAAGATTTTCGGTTTCGTAAAGTCTTTCTGTAAAGTCAATGTAAAATATTGCCTTCATCAGATTTTCATAAAATAGAATATAATATCTTCTCAACACATAGAATGTTATTTCTCATTTGTATTTTTAATTTTATATTTCTTGTGATTTTCTGTCATTAAAAATTCTTTTATCAATATTATATTCTTTCTAAATATTCAATTTTGTGTTATATTTGATAAGTATTACAATTAAATTTGACATTCTATCAAAGTAACATCGTTTTAAATTAAATAAACATTTTTTTATAATTAATAAATTTAAATAAACATCGTTTTAAATTAAATAAACATTTTTTTATTAATTCCCGTCCAAAATGTAATTTTCTATTAAAATGTAATTATCTATCATTCGAGCTTTTCTTTATAATATATATTTTCATATTATAATATATTCTATACGGATTAAAAAAAAGTAAAAATCTTAAAAATTATCTATGCACCATATATTATACTCAAGCTATAAAAATCATCTACCTTATATTGTCATCTAATTGGCGTATCGGCGAACCCCTATCGCCGTCTTCGTGATGCAGCACTGCCTCATAGATCTGAAATTGCCTGAGCAAATCGAGGTCTGTTCCCTGCTTCGACATGTACCTTTGGATGACGCCCTCCATACCTTGCTCCTCGAGGCAGTCCACTTGATCATAATAAGTGTCCTGATCAGGAATGCCGTTCAAGCACTTGTTGATCAATGTCGTCGCGTATATAAGCAACTCCGTATCGGCGGCATCATAATCCTTCAGGAGTTTCATCACGTTAATCCACGGTACCACGCCTCTGGCCTGATCCACCGCCCTGACAGCTCTGACCAACAGCAGACTGTTTGTTTCCACGTATTCCACAAACACGAGCAGCAGTTTCAGCGCCGTCTTCACCACCAGCCGAAAACGACTTGCAATTAACGTATACAGCCATTCTACCGTCTGTCCATGTTCCATCACTCCGTTCATGCCGTCAACGTACAGCATCACTTGGCCGAGTGCTGCATAAATGCAAACGAGTTGCGAGATTAAACACGGGGGGTTAAATTGTTACAGACAATCGTGTATAAAGAGAGAAGTCTTTGGCCATTGTCCATAAACGTACCTCTCTAATGTGAATTTCATAACTGTTCAACAATACGAAAGTTCAATATACTCGAGATATAACAATATATATAGAAGATATTGAAAAATTAAATCGACAAATATTTTAAAAAAGTAGATGATTTTTAATATATTAATTGGTGACAAATATTATTAATAAGCATTTCTTGTTAATAATCTTTTTTTCAACGACGTTTTGACATTGCATGATAAAATAGGAATTTCACACACACGTAACCTTAGTTGAAAAATCAAATTATATTTAATTAAATTATTTTAATCTTGAACAAGAAATGAAATTAATGAAAATTCATTAATGATCAAATGATTCATTCATTTTATGGAAAAGATTTTTTATGGCTAAAAAATTCCCGCAAATTCAATACAAAGACACTCTAGAAAACCTCTGCTCTATTGAAATTTTGAATATGATATTTTGAATATAAGATTAAAGCAAAATGTCACAAAGACAAATATCATTAACAAAAAATGTTTACCTTGAAATCCTCTATTTTTCTTCAAATTTTGTCGGTCTAATTTTTTAACGGTATATACGCATACATTTTGACGATATTGGAAAATAAGATCTTAGTATAATATTTCAATCTATTTTAAATATTTTTAATAAGATCTTAGTAATATTTCAATCTATTTTAAATAATTTTCGCATTAATCAACGTTTTTTCCAGATTTTAAAACTGTCTGTAGATATTGTATCATACAGTCTCGCACACATTCATTTCGCCTTTTGGTTCGCACTGCGGTATTTTTGCTATTTTTACTGGGATGCAAAAACATAAACGAAAGAGAAGTCGATATGGATATCTCTGCCAATGTAGATACGCAAGGAAAAATAAAAGCACGAGCGTCGTTGCAGCCGAGCGATGCGAAATCCATCAATCTCGGAGCGATCCATAACGAGGTTGCCTATATTTTTGCACTGTGCCACTTCGTTGTTTACGAAACTGATTTCCGGCTCGTCCTCGGGCCGCAGGTAGGTACGACTAGAATTTAACGTGTAAATTCCGCCGATCGTGGGTTTACTCGGATTTTATCCCATGTGAAATTACGCCCAAAAACGTGCTTGCGCGCACACGTTGCCGCTTAAAACTCGCATGTTCCAACAAAAGCCCCGCTCGCTGTGCTCTAAATAAATTACAACACGCTTGGCGTGTAAAATGCGCGAAAAATATGAGAAAAAGCTGTTGCGAACACTCACGCTTTGCAGGTAGAAAACCGTTCCAACGAAAATTAATTAGAAACAGTGAGAGAAAAAAATGGGATCGGTCCTTCGTCGAATAATAATTATAATGAACAACGCGTGACTAAAAAATAAAGCAGACGAAAATTCATATTATGTCATTTACATACACGTGCTACTCATTGATTTTATGACAACAAAATGAAGTAAATCAATTACATTAATGTTTGTCGCGAATCAAATCTGTAAATTATTGTCGCAACAAACTCTCCCAAATTCAATTCGGCTAAATCGGTTTTGTTTGCGAGAATTCTAACGATGTTTAATTTCCAGGCAAAATCGTGTTATATAAATCATATTTTATAAATTGATGCCAAAAATAATATTGACTGGCAATCAATAGTTTCTCCTTTTCGCTTTTATATTCGCGCTTTAATCAATATCCAACTTACGCAAATTTAATTTCGCATAACGTAGTTAAACAAGATTTTACCTCGATAGAGGACATATATATTACATATGTTCACATATATGTATACCTCCAATAGGATATCATCAAAATTCTGGTATTCGCGCAATCATGCGAATCACTTTCGTGCCGACAATGACAATGACATTAGAGCGATTTAAGCACGTTCCATCGACATAAACGTTAATTCAGCCGTTATCATTATAGGAGAGAGTCATAAGTTACGACATGGTAATCTAATTATAAGATTAGATATAGATTGCACCGAGCGCAATCAGCGCATATCGAACGTGCACCATAAAGGGTAAAACGATGTAATACGCCCCGATAGGGAAAATGCCCTACTCATTGTTCGGTCAGACATAATGAGTTTAGAACCAAGTGTTATTAAACGGGACAGGCGGCAATATACAATCAATCGAGAAACTATATAAAACTGTTCTAAGTGCAATTTTACATTAAAAAGATTATACAATCATTAATTTTTAAGAAATAAAAATTATTAAATTTATTGGTGAATATTTTTAATCGTTATTTTTATCACTTTTTATTTCATAAGAGTAATTGTCATTATGTTTTATATGTGTTTTTGCTGTATTTCTATAATCTACAAAATATAACCCAAATTGACAACCATATAGAAATTTTTTCTTTTATTTGATATCAATAAAAATGCAAAAAAATGCAAAAATAGTCCAGATTAGAGATAATATAATCTACTTTATTATAACATTTTTTGAATCATTTTTTTGTAGATTATAAACTAGACGTATAAAAGAAAAATGACAAAGGCGAAATAAACGGAAAAGGTGTTGTTGGAAACAGTGGCGAAGATTAAACAATTGCTTTTTTTAGAAGAAAAAGAGAAAAATATAATTCTTATAAATATTTAATTAATTTTTATTAAGCTAAAAATATAAATTTGTATATATTGTCAAATTTTATTATTTAAAAAAAATTATTTTTATTGATTATCTGAGATATTTTTCACAGAAGTCCAAGAGAAAATGCCCTTTTCAAAAAGTGGAAGCCATGCATTTTCAAAAAGTTAATCTCATAATTAGAATAATTTATTTATTTAATGAAAAATTAGTACAATTATTAATTGCGATGTTAGTAAATCTTTCAAATTTTAATTATCGATAAAATCTGTTCATTATAAGTATATTTTATATTAATTTAAGCAAATGTAGGGTATATTATACCTTATTTTATTACATACTGTATTATATTCTTTAAATGGAACGCAAAATTTAGCGTGAAATATTGCTTATAATCGTTCTGCAATATAATCGAATAATTATTGACAGCAAATATAATTTCTTTATGAAATAAACAATTATACACTATAAGTAAATTAATATTAATTATATAAGAGACTACTAAATTAATTTAAGCAATGTCTACATAGAAAAAAAAGACATTCTTGTTTTGAACATATATTTAATTTTAACATGGAAATCTTGAAATGAGATTATATCGCGTTAATTTAAAAAAATATAATTTCTTGAATAATTGCTTACTTGAATGAAGCCATTTTATACAGTTTAATCGAGAAAAATATATTCTTATGATTTAAGATTTAATTTTCTTGAATGAAAAAGAAACAATGTTGGATAGAAAATAACATTTTTAAATCAAAGATTATAATTTTCTTAAAGTAGAATTAAATAATTATATATTCTTGCGGTGAAAATTACAGTATTAATATAAGACTATAATATTGTTGAAATTTAAAATTATTAAATTCTTTTAAGAAGACTATAAATTATTGCGTATATACGAAACAATGAACGCGTTAATTTAAGTATATAAGTTTTGATTTGACACTTCTTTTTTGTCTGTGTATAATGATAAAATATAACCATGAGAATTATTAATTAATTATCAAATTATGTGTGCGTGTGCATAAGATAAATTAGTTTCCTCTCCAGAACAATCTCAAAATCGCGTTCTAAAAATATCTCCCTTTATTATATTTTCCGTGTTTATTATTCTTCTAATTCTCCTTGTAGGTTCTTTGAGTCTTTCATCTTTACGACGTACGTACATATCGGCACGACAAATACGTCACATAATGTAGAATTAACGTGTTCGCTTACATGTCAGGCCGACAGTTTACGGAGCACTTGAACACGCTGCCCGGGATGCTGCACTCGAAAGGCACGATCAAAAGGCGCTATTCATAATTCGCGACGCATCGCGGTTTGACGAGTAGTCACGAGCCATCGTGGCTCCCACGTGTCGACGCTTTCGTAAATGCAGAGCGTTAACACTTACACGCAATATCGCCGCCCTTCGCCTGGGCTTTTAAGACGATAATATCATCGTCGCCGCGTCTTTCTTGGAAAAGCAAAGACGAGGACCAAGTTGATGCCACGCTCGTTAAACGATGGCTGCATTACGCCAGTATTATCTTATCGTTATTCGCGAGATTGCGAAGGAGCATCCGCGTCTACCATGAAACCTCGACGTGCATACGACAAGGTCGCAACGTTCCCTTAACTTAATTTACGAGGTCGTTCATGAGTATGACTTTCCCGTCGACTAATTGGATGCGCCGTCTTTATTTTGCGGAAGTCGCAGAATAATTATCTCTTGCATTGTTACCGAATTCTCCGTAGTACAAGCTCTAGCGACAGTTATTTACGAGTTATACAAGTTTTTTGGAGATTTAAAGAATGTAATTGATAAAAATATCTGTCGAGTAATTATGAGAAAATATTAATATAATTATTTTCTTTTTTTTGCAGTTATTAAAATGAGCAACAGATAGTCAAACATATTTTCAATCGAAGACGAGAGAAGAACAAAAATTATTTCTTTAAACACAGAGCGTATATTCCCTAACATTCTCTTTTATTCGAGAAAAAATATTCGCACACATTTTTCTATTAAAATATTTTTTTTTTAACTCTCAAAACTTTAAAATTTAGAAATAAAAATATTCTTTATTTTGCGGAAGTTGCAGAATAATTATCTGTTGCATTGTTACCGAATTGTCCGTAGTACAAGCTCTAGCGACAGTTATTTACAAGTTATTCAAGTTTTTTGGAGATTTAAAAAATGTAATTCATAAAAATATCTGTCGAGTAATTATGAGAAAATATTAATATAATTATTCTCTTTTTTTGCAGTTATTAAAATAAGCAACAGATAGTCAAACATATATTTTCAATCAAAGACGAGAGAAGAAAAAAAATTATTTCTTTAAATACAGAGCGTATATTCCCTTTTATTCGAGAAAAAATATTCGCACACATTTTTCTATTAAAATATTTTTCTTAACTCTCAAAACTTTAAATTTCAGGAATAAAAATATTCTTTTTTATTTATACTGTCATTTTTTAAATTATTCTGATCTTATCCTTTCAGAGAAATTTTATAATATGATTTGATTAAATAAAGGTATCAAGAAGAAAATAGTTTAAACGAGAAAGATCCGGAATAGAATTCTCCTTATTGAATCAGAAGTGAGCATTAGAAGTGCAACTACTGTTCAATTTTATGATTAATGAATAGAGTACTTACCTCGTAAAATGTAATTTTGGTAATTCTGGTCGGCTTCGCTGCTGACTTTGATAAGACAGGCAAGTCCGTCATTTTGTACGAACTCGTGCACGAGATCCTTGTCCTCCTGGAAAATTGAAATTCACGATAAGCCGGCTTGATTATAACTTAACGTGGCGACAACATTAATCTATGTTGACGTACTAAATAAGAACAATTTGCGGAAGTATTTTCCTAAAGACCTGGATGCATTATTGCAGCTAGACATGTTTCTTAATTGTATCAGAACAGAAAGCTTTTAGCCTGCATAACTTGGAAAGTTATTGCATTACATTTTAATTAATACATTTGCGTAGTAATTATTTTACATCGTGTACCTACTTTACATCAGTGAAGAGTAAGACAAGTAAAATTAGTGAAAAAAAAGAACGATTAACAGTCTTCGATTTTCGAATATAAATTATACATTTTTGTTATTTTTGGATATTTTCTAATCCGACAAATGGCTGCATTTATATTTATTAAAATTTCAGTAACAATTTTTGCCTCTTTTTCCAGCAATTGAAAAATTTGAAATATTTTAATTAATACATTTGCGTAGTAATTATTTTACATCGTGTACCTACTTTACATCAGTGAAGAGTAAGACAAGTAAAATTAGTGAAAAAAAGAACGATTAAGAATCTTCGATTTTCGAATATAAATTATAAATTTTCGTTATTTTTGGATATTTTCTAATCCGACAAATGGCATTTATATTTATTAAAATTTCAGTAACAATTTTTGCCTCTTTTTCAAGTAATTGAAAAATTTGAAATATTTTAATTAATACATTTGCATAGTAATTATTTTACATCGTGTATCTACTTTACATCAATAAAGAGTAAGACAAGTAAAATTAGTGAAAAAAAGAATGATTAACAATCTTCGATTTTCGAATATAAATTATTATTATTTTTGGATATTTTCTAATCCGACAAATGCTGCATTTATATTTATTAAAATTTCAGTAACAATTTTGCCTCTTTTTCCAGCAATTGAAAAATTTTCGATATAATTCTTTCGGACATATCTATATCTTTTTTTTTTTCGTTGCACACAAGCTTTCCGACAAATTGAGAAATACGGGATGAAAACGTCTATCCGGAAGAATTTAACGCGGCTGCGCGCGCGTTGATATCCGATCCTGACGGCGGCGTGATTTACCTCTACATTGCCACCTAAGCCCAACCGAGGTTAAATGGAATTAGTTATGCTGCTCCGGGCGCAAAGTCGCGGGCATAATGGAAAATCTAGGAAGTTTGATTAAACCCCCTCGTTTCCAGGGCGCCGCGATGCCGGCGCCGTGGCTCGTTCGCGATCTCTCGTCGGACTTGTACGTCGGGTTTGTTCGCGTATACTTGGCGTATATCCCTATGTTTCCCCTCACCCCACCGATCCTGAGATGGCGGAAGTTTACACGGGACTTAGGCGCGACGTAGACTCGATTAGCCGGGCGGATTAAGAAGCGAAATTGAACTCGTACCGATGCATTTCCTCGATTCCTGCGACGCGAGGAAAACTTCGAATCGACCGGAAGGAGAATGACAAAGGACACACATTCTGGAATCCAGTGTCTCGTGGAAGTAATTATGAAATATGCTCATACACGACGGCCCGCGATTAGATTAGATCGGCCGGGTGCAATTGATTTACGTGACGGTAAATTCGATTAGCTCTACGGATTAACGGCCTAGTGTAAGAATACGAGAGATACGTGATCGTGATGAAGACTGAAATTCGCGATAGCAATAATCGGAAAGAGGATAGAATCGTTAAACGCGTGCAAGATTCAATTAACTCGTCTGATGTAAGCACAAAATTAATTCGGAATTTCCAATAATCTCGGCCTTTCAAATTGTAAATGACGAAAGGATCATGGGTGATAGACAATTTATGGAATAAATGAGTCAAATTTGTAAATAAATTAAATCTTAAGAAGCAATAAATATGAATATATCCCGAAAAAAAAGAAAAAAATAGCAACTCTGGCATACTTTCGAAAAATTAAATAATATTATATTCATATAATTTTCTTCATATAATTTTGCTTATAATTATATAATTTTCCTTGATAAAAGGATAATATAAAGGATAAGGTGGAAGAAAATTGCTCGCGCAGAAAGTGGAAACACTTACAGAGTGAAAAAGGAAAAATCATTATTTGATAGTGAAAAGTGCATTTTCCGTGAGTACAACAAACTCTTAAGTAAGTCTTAAACGAGACTATTAACAGTAATTCGTTTGACTTGTGGATAACTTATTGAAACAAATATTATGATATAAAGTCGTCAAATATTTAATAAAAATTTTTATTTTTAACCAAATCAAGTTTGTCAAAAAAAAAGAAGAAAAATTGAGATTATTGGAAGTACTTAAAAATTTAATAAAATGATATATATTATTTTTAATAGACAAATAAAGAATCTCTAAGATTTCAAATTAGCGTAATCGTCTTTTCTTATTTTAATTTTCTAATATTTCTTATCAAAATATCAATTTTTTACAATGTTTGCTTCTTTATTTTATAACTATCGTTTAATGTATTTCTAATTCCAAATAATGTCATTGGTTCTATTTGTGGATAACTTACTGAAACAAATATTATCATATAAAATCACCAAATATTTGATCAAAATTTTTGGCTATGTCAGGTTTTTCGGAAAAAAAGAAGAAAGATTGAGATTATTGGAAGTACTTAAAAATTTAATAAAATGATATATATTATTTTTAATAGACAAACAAAGAATCCCTAAAATTTCAAATTAGCGTAATCGTCTTCTCTTATTTTAATTTTCTAATATGTTTTATCAAAATATCAATTTTTTACAATTTTTGCTTCTTTATTTTATAATTATCGCTTATTGTATTTCTAATTGTAATTCCATTCTTATTGTAATTCCAAATAATGTCATTGGTTTTATTTGTGGATAACTTACTGAAACAAATATTATCATATAAAATCGCCAAATATTTGATCGAAATTTTCCTTCTTGGCCAAGTCAGGTTTCTCAGATAAAAAGAAGAAAATTTCACGCGTCTTCGGGAAGGAAGAGGGGAAAAGATGCACTCGCTCTCGACTCGCCATGCAAATATTTACTCGTCGGACAAGTAGTTTCGCGTAAAAATATCCTCCGCTAGACTTCGTCACGCGCCCCGTCGCCCGTCCTTCCCCCTTCCTCCCCACCCACCTTCGCTATACGTAACGTTCTCCCGTCCCGCTCGTTCTATTCGCATCGCGAATTGTAAACCTACCTGAAAAATCTGCTTGAGGGAGAAGAGAGCCCGTCGCAGCTCGCGGCCCTCGCTGTTCAGCAATTTTTCTGCAACAGACAAGCAACATGCAACTATTTATTATAATAATACCACACGCGCGTTCATTGTTGCGTCCAGACCCGATGGATGGATGGAGGCCTCTTTCTGCGAGGGACCATTTTCAGATCACGGTACTTAAAGCGCCCCGTAATGAAGAGGCCGCGTTTACCACAAACGGCCTTCTCCATCGGGGTGAGTCCATGCGATCGCGCAAGCGCACGCTGCTAATTTGATATAAATTGCCGTCAGATTATTGAATCCATCCCTCGGGCGAGATCGAGAATCTTCGTCTCGTCTGAGCATAGTTTCAGTATCACCAAACGAAAACAACAGAGTTAATGAAGCACGGTATTAAGAATGTATTGGACGGACCATCTGTCTCAAAAATTAATCCAAAAATATCAAAAAATTAAAGTTGGGCAGAATACGAATTCTAATTGATCAAAAATTTTTTAAAAATCACGAAATCATACTTCAAAGTATTCTTTAATATAAATAGGTCTTAATTTCCAAGAAAATGTTGCCACGTTTTATCATCAATATTGCGTCAAACCGATAATCACAGTTATTTTTTAATAATAATTTCAAAACGAGCAAGTAAATCGTTTTAAAACTTTGTGGGAACATTTTTACACGTATGAAGAATATAATATTACAAAATGAAATTTTTATTATTGTTTTTTTATAGTTTGTGAATAATTTATTACCTGTCTCTTGAACGTTTACATAAGATCCTATGTTAAAGTCGCAAAATTCAAAAATTAATAACTTTTAAAGGAGCAAGTAAAAAGATTTGAAATAATTCATGACGATTTAGAATGTTATTAAGAATGTTAAATTAAAAATTCACGACGATCTTATTGATTGTAATATATCTCCAATACATCCTTAAAACTTCGTGATAAGGGAAATTTATAAATTGTTGAAATGGCTGTGCGCAAACAATTGACATAATTATTGCAAGATTGTCGAAAGTTATTTGGGTTAATTTTCAACTTTATATATTGTATAAATTTGTATATATATATTCAAGTATAAACTATTATTTTGAAATATATTTGTAAAACAAAATTTAAAGAGAATTCTGTAAAATCTGTATTTTTAGTAAATTTATCATTTGTGTGGAACAAAATTTTGAAATTATGTTTCTTCTTTCATCATATTCGATGAATTTTTATCTGCTAATAATTTCACTGAATTGCTGTTTCATAACTTTTAATTAATATTTGTAAATTTTTAGCTCTCTATAACACTTTTTTACAATATTTTTTTTACAATTTATTTATAATGGACTGTTTCCATAATAAGTCATGCAAACGTATATGTATTATCAATTTGATATCTTTTTTTCTGTCGAATTTATTGGACATATTTATCAAACACCGAATAAAGTGCGAACGTCCAGTGTGCAAGTAAACAGAGGTCGGCAATTAAATCGAATGAATTTTACATGCAACCGAATTTTTTGCAACGAAATTTCCGCCGCCTATTTTTCTTTCGCCGTCCCGTACGCAATCCTCTTCCAATCATAGCCCACGGTTCAACGTATTACTAATAATTGAATCCCATTTCATCAGTGGTGCGGCAGAGTAAATTCAATTTGCCGGCCGCGCCAGGATTTCCTGATTCTCTCTCGCGGAATTTCGCGGGTAGTTCGTCAGAACAGTGAAAAAAGGAAGGAATCCTAGCGGAACGCGTTATCGTGCGAAAGCGTGGTAACGTCAATTCACCGTGAATATATGCGAAGGGAATTTTGCCGGAAACAAGGCGAGGCGCGATAGAAAGAAAAAGTCCAACATATCTCGGTGCGACATGCAAAAAGTATAATAGTTTTCGCCTTTGATAAGCGTAACTTATTTGTCAATTTGCAATTTATATCAGTATGTCACGAGATGCTTAAAAATAAATATAGCTATTTCTAATTACGAGATATGTTCGATCATGTTTTTATTAATTAATTTCATTTAACCAGAATTAATTTCGTAGAATCAGATTTGGAATCAAATTTTGTTCTAAATTGATCGATTTCGCCATCAAGATTTAATTCTTCGTCTCCAGATTAATTTCTGAACACTTATATACACTGAGGAAAAAATTATTTTAAAATAAAAAAATTTTAGTTAATTCAAGAAAGGTTTATTCAGTGGATACTAATCACATATTTACTTATATTCAAAACGTCTGTTTGCTTAAGTTAAATATTTATTTACATATGTTTAAAAAAATATATATGTTTAAAAAAATATAATTTTTAATTAAATATTTTTACTTTAATTTTACAAAATATTTATTAAAATGCATTTTTTATTCCCAAAAATTTTTAATTTTTTAATTTTAAAAAATGATATGAATTATATTTAATTTAATAAATTATAGTATATATTTTACGAAAATAGTATTTGAATATGACAAATATATAAATAATGAACTTAATATAAAATGCATATTTAATTAAAATTAAATGCTTTTGCTTAAATGAAATAAATAATTCCTTCCATTTAATGCAAAAGTTTCAAGAAAACAAATTTATTTGATTTAAAAAAATGTTTTCCTCAGTGTATAATATACGATACAAAGTTAATTACACTGATTAAAATATATATTTTTGCTTGCGATTTTTTACGTAATGGTGTCTTTTCGCCAGAGTCACGGTTCGCGGCGTGGCAAACCCAATTCGCGATTTCTTTCGTGGAAAAGGAGGCCCGGTGCGACCGCATAATCCACGGCTATCACGCGATCTTCAAATGCATAATGCATGCAGGTGAGGGATGACCGAAGAAGAAGAGCGATGGGAAGAAGGAGCGAAAGGGAGAAAGAAGGTAGATATGCAAGCAAAGGTAATTAGGAGTTCGCTGCAGGGTACGCGAAGGAGTCGAGAAGAAGGACGACGGCGAGGAAGAGAGAAGGAGCGACGCGTCTTCTAAGAATAGCGGTCCCAAGGCCCTGGGGCCCTTGGTCCCTCCGTAATCAGTGACCATATAAGCAAAAGTCCCCGTCTCCTTCCTTCGGAAAGCCCTTTTTGTCCTTGTGTCTCTCTGTCTCCGCGTTGTATCTTCTTTTCGTTGCTCGAGCAACCTCGCCAACCGCGTCGTAATGCATCATTGTCACTCATAGATCCTGTTTCATTTAATTTTCACTCGGATCGACGTCAGCTTTCAGCATTAAATGACTTCTTACGCAATTTACGTTACCGTAGGTGATTTACTACTGACCTATTTTCGAAGAAAAAAAGAGAGAGAATAGTTTTTATTATGAAAGAAGCTCTACGAATTTCAGATACACATAAATATACTGTTTCTTCAAGGATAAATCCTTTTGATGATTATTTGATAGAATCTTAGATACATCTAATGACAATATTTTTATATCATAGAGAGCGAAAGTTAATCAACTATTTAGATCAATCGAAGACTCAGTATATCTTCTCTAAGTAGATTTATTATTTATTATCTGTTATCTAATTTATATATGCACATTATTATATATATTGCATAAATGCAAATATTTAATATTAAACATAAAAATTATTTTTTACTGTCAATTTTATGTTTTTGTTTAAAACAATTTTATGAAGAAATATAATCTAAATTAGCTTCATTTCTAAATTTCATAGAAATTTTTTATTATTAGACTAATTGATTCAATTGGATCAATTAAAAATGTACAAAAAACATAACGATGATATATTTCATTTATGACAGATATGAAATATGATATGATGTGTTACGACATTTCACAGGATATAATAATAGTGTATTACCATTTTTTTTTATAGAATTATTAGCGTAATAGACGATGCCAATTGGCACATAATATTAAAATATAAAAACAATAGTAATAAATAAACAAAGAGCGCATTAAAAAAATAAAAATATTGAAGATAATTAAATTAAACATTAACATATATATATATATATATATATATATATATATATATATATTATATACACAAAAAAAGAAATTTATTTTTATAAAAAATTTTATCAATTATTATTCGTGCAAATTAAAATTCAAAATCTGATATAATTGAAACTGCAACATATTATCAAATACATTATAAATAAAAATTATCAAGATAGATTTTTCCCGGATAAATTTGGCCCGACTTGAACATTTGCCCAAATTATTATCGCAAACTTTTTATCTAATTATAAAAAATTTTACAGTGTTCTATTTTCTTGTATAATTATATAACAAAAATGGATTCAGACTGAAAATCATAAAGATTGGTCTACTAAGAATCCGGGATTCATGAAAATTTTATGATGATACAGAAAGGTAATTTAACCCATTTTGCAGACGAATACTATTGCCAAGTTGCTTGGCATGAACGAAATCCGAGTCCGTGTGTCGCGTGATACGTGAAAACGCGCTCTCGTAACACGCGAAGCGTGCTGTATAACGTCCAGCTAAGCGGCCAGCCGCGAAATATTTGTACGATCAGTTTGCGAGTGAAATAGATTCGCAAAATTATCCATCGCCAAATTTCGTGGTCGCGCGATGAATACATTTCCGAATACGCTTCCCATACATTGATGCAAGGATGAAAGGCAATTATTAATATAGCGAACGATGCAATCATAGATTTTCAACAAGAGCTCCATATAAACGATCTATTATTTTACGGGCAATAAACGATCTATTATTTTAATGTTCGACAAATGTACGGTTTACATACGTTTATATAAATAAATTAATTTCGTGTACATTTAACGTCTGATTTATTGTTTAAATTAACCATGAAATCGTGTGTTATTATACTAACTATTATACTAATTATATTATTTATTATGTTATTATATTAATTATACATGTGTATGCAACTTAATAATAAATTATATTTTATAATTTCTTTTTTTTAAAAACTTAAAATTATCACAAAATCTTTGTTTGTGTATTGGATATCTTAAAAAAATAACATTAAGTATTAAAGTAATAATAATAATAATATTATTATTAATAATAGTAATTAATAATAGTAATAATAATAATAATAATAATAATAATAATAATTATTATTATTATTATTATTATTATTATTATTATTATTATTATTATAAAACAAAATATTTTAGCAGATATTAAACTAATATTTTTCCAAATGAAGAATTTCTGCTTTTAATATCCTTTTTTTTTTTTATTATTTTCCGAGATACTTTTGTCATCTGCAATAACTTGCATGTATTTAAGTATGAGATACAGGATGTTGTGTAAGATAATCTTCATTACACGCCTTTGGAAGGCAACCAAGTTAGGTCACAAGAGGAAAAAGAAGAAAAAAAGGATCAAAACGAAGAAAGATGGACAAACTTTACGAGGGCCGGAGGTACACGAAGAACCGTTAAAATATGTAAAACGGCACGGTCCACTTTGGCTTCCGCTCCTCCCTCTGCCCTTTTGGGACTTCTTTTTTTTTTGCTCCTTCTGTACCTTCGATTATCTCCTCCACCGCCTTCATAGGGTTCAATGAACCAGGACACGGTGTACTCAACGCAGGTGTACCAACACATATAATCTTTCGCGAATTTCTTCAGTAATATTATACTCAATACATATTTCGTAGAATATTAACGAACATTTCAGCTAAATTCTTGTTTGTTAAGATTTAATCTAAAAAACTAAACTAGATCACACGTAAAATTTCTTAAATCTGCTATATCCTTTTGTTCCAATATTAAAATTTGACGAAAAATGCTAGATTACTTGAAGATAAAATTATCAATAATCTTTTATTTGTTAAAAAAAAATTGCATTATAATTCTGTACAACTAAACAAGAAAAAATCTATACATCTGGTCTAATTTGTTTGAAATAGATCTCTTAAAGAAATTTTATTATTTTTTATTAACTATTCTCTCTCTCATTGTCAAAAATTTTAAAAATATAATAAATATGAAATATACTCCTTTTTGTTTGTGTTTTAAAGAATTTGTAGTTAAATAAAATTGTAGATATTTCACATTTTGCATTGTTACAAGCATGATTAAATTTTGCTATGTATGTCGAAATAGTGATTCTCGAAGTCTTGATTACAATTAACTCAATTATACAAGCAAAATACGATAGAACGTTAACAAAGCAGCTACTGTCAGAGAATACTGACAGCTGAAACAATTTCGTTGGGAATAATTTACATTTACATGGCAAAAAGATGCCATGAATATCCTCGCTTGTTTTCGAAAAGTTGCTGTTTGTGTAAGTCATAAAGGTGTTTATCTCAACACATTTTATAGAAATATTTCTCTTCAATGAAAATAATGTCACGATGTTAAAAAAAAACAAATATATATAGTAGCGAGTAAATTTTTAGAGTTCTAGAGAGATTACGAGAGTCAGTAATTAAGGTGTATGTCGGTATTTGTTGCAGGTATAAAATTTTGTTGTTCAGGTATAAGATTTAATCACAATAATTCTATCAAAGTATATAAATATTACATAAATCATTACATTTCATTTATTTTGTTTCCATAAAATTTATAAAACAATGAAATTGCTCATTTATTTAAAAAAGAATGAGCATGTATTTAACAAAAAAAAGCATATGAAACGTAATAATTATGTGGAAATAGCACTACTTATAAGTTAATTTTCTTATAATATTTTTAACTCATTAAATTGAAAAGGATATATTTAAGAAATTAATGAAATATATTTGTTTTCGAAAAGAAAAAAATATGAATATCGAACATTGATTTATTATGATATTATAAGCATGAATATTCAATTTAACATCAAATACGATCGAATATATCTCTTATTAAACATCCATTATTAAAAATGAAAAAAATTATGCAAATTTTTATTAGTTGTATCTAATTTATATATTACTTGTATAGTAAATTATTTCAACTATACTTTTGCGGAGTTCTTAAATATTTTCATAAATTGCTGAATAATTTATAAAAATAAATATAAATATTCGAACACTTTTTAGCTATGAAACGAGAGAAAGAGAAAAGTATATAAAGCAATAAAATAATTAAATAGAAATATGTGTATGGATGCTATTTGTAATGCCAATAAAATTTTTATATTGCTGCAAAGTAAAGAGAATGGAAGGAGTTTTTATTCGACATTATGTGATTAAGTACTGTCTGTCATAGTTGGTGATGGATGGTCGCTGAGCTACGATAAAGGATTAGCTTGATTTTCGCAGGTACAACGTTCCGCACTCAGTGGTATAGTCATTACTTTACTAATTATCAACAGGCAACAGAGCTCATTGTTTACGACATTGTATAATTATATCACAAGGTGTATTTAAAAAGATAGAATTGCATTTTTTTCCTTAAAAACATATTGTAGATGTAATTATACATTTGCTATTCATTGTCCTTATAACCATTCGCACTATTTAGTCTTTTTATACAAAGTATTGTAAAGTAATTAATAATAATGCAGTATTATAAAAAGTTAAAAAATTATTTGCATTTCTATAAAAAAGATTTTAAACATTTTTAAAAGTATTTATATCTATTAAATTATATTTTAAAATATTGATTATCATAAAAAGGATATGTTTTCCATGTTGATATAAAAACATATTATATTAAATTATTATTTTATCTTTTTTGTTACGTAACGTTACGACTTATTTTGTTTACGTAAATCATTATTTCAAATGCAAAAGTAAATTTAAAATATTTTATAAAAAGATTTATATTTTATTTATTTTAAAGATTTGAAAACTGGGAAAGATGAAATGTATGTGTTGGAAGTTTAATTCATGGGAAATATCCTTTATGCTTAAATTGAAAAATTTTTTAAATTTTTCTTAGGGAATCAATCTCAAATTAATTAAGAGAAGAATTCATGATTATAAATACAATTTTAATATATATATATATATATATATATATATATATATATATATATACATAAGTAATCATTTACTGGAATATCAAAAACGTGATCAATCGAATGCAATGTCAGTACATTAACGATGTAATAATAATATTAATATTGATATAATTATATATAAATCTCTTCCAAATTCTCTTTCTCTCTCTCTTTCTCTCTCTCTTCCTCCTTCTCTCCCTTCTCGCTTTCTCATCGATTGGTCTCATTGTTATTATTATGTTATTATTATGTATTGTAATTGTCACAAAACAAGTGTCTGTATAATTAAAATACTTTAATAATTTTAAATTTAGTAGTTTAAAATAATATTAATAATTATATATTTAAAATTATTTTAAAAATAATATAAAAAGTGAAAAATATAGAAAATATTAAGACATAGTTATTAAAATTATTTATGTTACTTCGTAAGCAGAAATATATACGATCTAATATTAAATAGCATCAAATAGTTTCGTTTATAGAAAAAAAATTAATTTTCCCACAGATTTTGCATTTATCACTTTTCCACATACTTCTTTAACTCTCAACATTATCTAATATCTTGATAATTAAAGTAAATTAAACTTCCGCAGAAATAAATTCGATTAATAATTAAATAATTCGATTTATAACTAAATATTTCGATTATATTTATTTACATAGATTTTTCAATTTTATTCATATTTAATACAGCTACCGACACATTCCTGTATCTTGCTTATAAGCAAAATTATTTAAAAATTGATTAGACGAGATTGAAACCGTATATGAAATCTTGATCAAATCTTACATATACTATATATCTTATCTAGTATATACAAATCTTATGTAACACTTGTATATACAAGTATCTTATTCATCTGTCTTCATCTACGATTATCAAAACTTGATGCAGCATCAGCGTTACAGTTAGTAGAAGGTCACCGTTGTCGGTGAACCGAAACAAGTGACCGAGTAACTAGAACGAGACTCGACCCGCTGCCAGTTAAGACTCGAGGAATCAGCGCGCGCGGATGATCCATCCAAGTGGATCGTGGGAGCCCGTCGCGAGATTTGAATCAGGAATTCACGATGATGGTACTCACCTATGATAGTGTGGACCCTCACGGACAGCTGAGTCCTGAGAATGATCGCGTTCTTCCGGCTGCAACAGAAAGAACAGACAATACCGGCCGATTAGTATAAGCGTTAAAATGCCGATTGTTGCGTTGGGTTACGTATTAATATGTAATTAGGGAGGGGTGGAGAAGCGAAGGGGAGACAGAAGAGGCCTATTGCCCCACTGAGGCGCAGCTATTATTCGTCCTGCCGCGGATGGATGCTAATTAGTTGCAGCCGCGAATTAATCGCGTTCGGTAATTACATAATTAAAGCCCGGCGTCCTCCTTAAGCAAGCCGCACATATACACTATGCGAACGTTAATAAATACGTTCCTATGATATGCGACGGATGCTGCATGTGCGCTCAAATTTAGATTTATAAATTTGCAATTATAATATGCGCTCTTTGTTCTGATGTAATAGAGCACGATAACCTGGTAACGCAATTCCGAAGAATTGTTTCTTCGATCTCAACTAAGGGAATGATAAATTTAAAAGCTTTAAGTAAAGTAGATTATTCTACCGGCCCGGAATTTCCTACGAAATAATCAAGAAGCGGCTAGGGTTGCACAAGACCCAAGACAAGACAATATTCGTAAGAATATTGTATTGGTATTGAAAATTTTCAAAAATTTAAATTTTGTCTTGGTCTTGAATGAATATTGGTAGCAAAAATCTCGTCTTGTATTGTCTTGTCACCATTTTATTAACAATTATTTATCTAATATTAAAAAATTATTTAAATAATATTTAACATAATTTTTGTAATATAATTTGAAATAATTATTACTATTATATTATATTTTAATTATAATTATTACTATGTAATCGATATAAATGTCGTCTATTTAAAAAAATATTTACTGTTTCATGGAAAACAGAAATTAATAACTATTTACAGGCTCCAAGGGAATGTGCAGATATAAATATTTTGGAGTGGTGAAAAAATCAGGTTCATATTTCCCACATTGTCAAAAATGACTCGAGACATTTTAAGTTCAACTGCCTCGTCCATGCCAGTAGAAAGACTTTTCTCAATAGGAACTCTGAGACTACGTCAAAAAATAGAACCAGATTACAAAGTAAATCTTTGAAAGCACTAATGTGCATCAATTCCTGGGTGAAATGCTCTTTAATGTCTAAAATTTGCGAGTTTGATTTCTAATTTATAAAAATGTTATATTGTATTAATATTAAATATTTTTAAATTTATTAATATAAATGTTTTTATTGAATAAAATTTTTTTAAATTCGTATATAGTGATTTTTTTTCATTTACAAATATAAATATTTTAGTTTTTTTGAGAACCAATAATCTTGACAAGACTAATAATCTTGACAGTCTTAGTCTTGGTATTGTCTTGATAACTAATTAAAAATCTTGTCTTGATCTTGTCTTGAAATTCAAAACAAAACAAGGCAAGATCAAGACTCTTGGTATCTCCCAAGGGGTGCAACCCTAAAGGCGGCAAATATATGTCACAAATGTGTGACAATTGTGAATGAAGCGCGAGTAAACACTCATAGATTCTGGTTGATGAACGTGACTTCGTGGCAATAGACCTCGATATATATAAATTGGGTTAGAGTGGCGCGACTCGGCTCCCCCGTGCATACACCTCACCTTGAACGGCGTGAACTTTAAGGCCCTGCGAACCTTCCCACGCCACGTCGCTGAGAAATCGCGACGACCGTATAGACAATGGCTTCTAGAAAAAGAGGGAGAAGAAAAAAGAGGCGACGAAGAAGAATCGTTGGCACAGCGGCCGATGTTATGTGGTGGCGATGGTGGCTACGTGGAGATAAAAAAAAAGTCCAGTATACACTTGTTAATAATGTTTCCGCTCGTTAAATGAGGGAGGCAGAATACGATTATGCGCCCTGAATTTCCCACGAGTAATGGCGGCGACGGCGGTATGTTACAGTAAAACGATCTTTTTCGAATGCCTACAAAGGGCACGAACGTAACCGATTCGATAGAAACGCAACAATTCAAGTATATATTAAATATTATAAAAAGCAAAAAATGATTGAAAATAAATGATATATATTATCTTCAAATCCTTAAAAAATATAAAAGCAGTAAAAAAAATCTAATAAAAAATATCTAATTTTGACAATCAAATATATTTGATAATCACATGCATTTAAGTAAATTGCATATTGCGTTAATTTGTCATGAAAATAAATAAAAAAAATTTTTATTGGAATATATAATTTCGTGAGAAAAAGCAAAAAATGATTGAAAATAAATGATATATATTATCTTCAAATCCTTAAAAAAAATAAAAGCAGTAAAAAGATATCTAATTTTGACAATCAAATATATTTGATAATCACATGCATTTAAGTAAATTGCATATTGCGTTAATATGTCATGAAAATAAATAAAAAAAATTTTTATTGGAATATATAATTTCGTGAGAAAAAGCAAAAAATGATTGAAAATAAATGATATATATTATCTTCAAATCCTTAAAAAATATAAAAGCAGTAAAAGAAATATCTAATTTTGACAATCAAATATATTTGATAATCCCATACATTTAAGTAAATTGCACTTAATCTTGCGTTAATTTGTCATAAAAATAAATAAAAATAATTTTTATTGGAATATATAATTTCGTGAGATTCATAAATAAAGAAACTAAAAGTTAATACAAAAAATAATTTGAATAGATAATATATATATATATATATATAATTAATTAAATAAATATATATATTTTTTTAATTTAAAAAAGAGCATAGTTGTAACATAATATAATGTATGTAAAAGTTTTTATTATTTCTCACTTAAAAAATTGATAAGAAAACATATTATATTTTAAAACAAATATATAAAATTATATATTGATTTAATATCATAAAATATGTGTCTAAAAAGCTAATTCATAAAAGATAAAATTTATGAAAATATTCCATTATTAACCCTTCATGAAATTAAATTATACAAGCAGATAATGGCACGCATGAGAATTGATTAAGTGTATAACAATGGCTACATCCGATATAACGCCATTTAAAAATTCAAATATTTCATTAATATTAAAATCATTTGAAATATTACTGACAGAATACATATATTTATTATTAACTCGTGATTTTTCCTCCCTTCCAACTCTATACATCGCGAAAACGCTCGTTGGAGAGCAGTCTGCTCGATGCACCGCGTTGAATGATATATCACCAGGCAGCAAAACAATCAGCCGCCGCAACACGACGATGTTCCAGTGGCAATGACCGCGAAGGGTTAACAAACTCCAAAAGCGGAGGTTGCGCGAATAAATTAAAAAGTTTCAGGCATGGGGCCAAGTTCAATGCCGGGTAATATCGGCCGGGTGCGCGTGTTCAGATTCCTCGTAAACACCAAGCCGCTGTCTTTGCCCGGACTGATTCCTTTCATAGGAACATAATAGCAATTTATAACGGTTGTCGCATGGTAAATGCATGGCGAATGCTTCGACGTCGTAAATTCTTTCGTTTTTACGATTCAATCATTATATCGTCATGATTACACGCTTGTAATTTAAGAAAACATTAGATTTCATCTTATCATTTTATTATAATTATCTAAAATTTTGTCACAATCAAAAATGCTTCATTATACAAGTAACAAAAATATTAGGTATTTTATAAATAACCCCAAAATTTGAAAATTCTATTTCTATTTGACAGAAGAAATTGAAACATTCCATTCAAAAAGAAACTTGAGAGCATCTCATATATATGTACATATCAATTTTTTATATAAAATATATATACATATATATGTGTGTTAATAGATTGATATATACAAGGTGTTTCTTAATAAATGCAAAAAAATTTAGGAGATGATTCTTTGTCGAAATGTGGAGTTACACTCCTTTAAAAATGGAGAAAAAAATTAGACTTTTATTTTTTTCTCAAATTTGGAACAAGTTAAAGAAATGAAATTAGTGTGGATATGTTCTACTAGTAAAAAGGTTATTTATTAACATTTTTTTCAGCCTCCCGTATTGTTATAAGGGGATGAAACTAGCAACCCCTATTCAATTTTTTACTAGAACTAATGTTTATATGAAAAACCCCCCTTAATTTTCGACAAAGAATTCGCGCTTAAAAGCACCCTGTATATTTGATTTTGATCAACTGCACGCGAGAAGTTCAAGTCATCAATATTTTCGCATGCATGAGAGTGAAGTATCTTCTCAGAATGGACATCGTAACTTTCCGGGCAAACAACGAGCGGTATCACCGAGCGCAGGAGGTCACCGAAACCTACCTGAGAAGGGCCGGAGAAACTCTCATGCAAATGCGATTTACCTCCGACGTGGCTACCGCTAGGTTGCCAGCAGCAAGTGCACCCTCGGGAGGAGGTAAGCGAAGTCGGAGCAACGTTCCCGGCAAATGGAATGCAAAATCCTGGACGGCGCGAATGTCCCGGGAAAACTTGGTCGTCCGTTCCATTGGGCGACGAAAGTCTCCCGGGTTCGAAAGGATTTCCAATCTCTCTTAATGGTGCATTAATCGTGATTCCCCGGGGGGGGGGGGGGGGGAGAGCGAAATAGCCGTTCCCTTAAATGCGATAACTTCGTCGGCCGACAGTTTTCAATTGGCAAACGACGCACTGATGGTCGACGAAGTTGTTTCCAATATCTGTTATCGATACTCCATCTTTTACTCACGCGCTCTTTAATTCAGAAGTTTGTGCACGGCAAAGTTACGGAACACGGGGGGAAGGTACACCGTGAAATCCCGCGTGTCGATCGAGCGTGAAATTAAAGATGTTCGTGTCGGGAAGTTTGCGCGAACAGGAAGAACTTGAGCTGACTTGTGTTAATCTTTCATTAATGTACGCGAGTTTTAGCTGATTGTATAATGCAAGTGCGTTCTCTCTTTAAAAAAGATGTATTATTGAATCTCTATACATTCTGCAAAAGGTTTATGATTTTTAGTGTTGTACAAAAAAGAATTTCTCTGGATTAATTATCACACATTAAAAAATATCGATAAAATATAAAAGTTTACATAAAACGTATGCACTAAACAAATAATTGAAAT